TCTTCCAGTTATTCAGATGTTTTAGAATTCAGTTGATTCAACAAATTTGTGGCGACAATGGAAGATACCACGAATGATTGTGACTGAAATATTGTTTTGAGTCTTGATAAAGGCGCAAAGTTTGTGCGAGCATAGGCTACACTTTTGAATCTATTCCTAGGGCATTTTAACTAAGGAAGCCCGTTTTAGTACACACTGAGTCCTGGATCACAAGGTATCTGTCTTCTTATTTTTCAGGTAGAAAACAGTGCTAATGGAAACTGGTGTGCCTCAAGTCTCTGTATACTCTCCATTTCTTTATTTTCGCATAACCTTCCATATTCTTCCAAAGCTAATTTCACTATAAATACAGAGGATCTGACAACTTCTGTACTAGTATTTTTTGCATTGGACTGTTTTTCTATGAATAAATTCTTATCTGAAGTTAATAAGTGATATTAAACTGAATCCATCTATATGTCATATTGTTGTCATTTGGTTTCAAGTGCGAAAACGTTTTGCGTGGACTGATTCAGCGGCATGATTCCGGTAACATTGACGGTACTGTGATGAAAGAGAGTAAATCCAGTATCTCTCATCTCGGTAGCACCACTTTCTCTTCAAATCTCTGTTGGTCGTCTTACATCCTGTTGATTTTCAAGAAACATTTTCCACTTGACTTATCACATAAAGAAGTTGAGACTGTCTGCTAGCATAACTCAACCTCACCGCCTATCTTAAAATTTATTTATTCATTTATTCTGCCAATTCCTCTTCGTCACGGTTCGGCCAACTTATTCTTCCCTGGAATTCTCAAAAAGGACTATATCATATTACGTAGAACACCGAAGGCTGTAAGTAGGGTTAGTGTTGTGTGTGTGTGTGTATGTACGTGTGTCTTTGACCCAACTAACTGACATTATTGTTGTCAATAGGCACTTCAGTTCACTTCTGGCAAGCAGTTGCCTGAGTCATTTTGTCTGACACCAAACATCCTCTCTACTTATTCCCAACTTTTTCCTTGTATCCCTCTTCGGGGTAAGACTAAAAGAAATTTCAGAAGAATTTATACTAGTACAACTACAGAATTCTACCATACCACCATATTTAGCACGGATTTTGTGTGATGGGAGACAGTCAGATGTCAGAAGAGAACTTACATACCATCTAGCTCACTACAAAGTAAGAGCATAGATTATTATTACATGTATTATCTACAATACTGTCGACTTATACTTCATTGTTTCCACCAATGTTCTGTTTATAGTGGTTGCATTACTAATTTTATTGCCATTACTTTAAATTTTATCTATGTATGTGTTTATTTAAAAGGAACTAAATTATTGCAATATGTATAGAGACGCTGAAAATTCCATTCTGCATTATTATTATTATTATTGTTGCCTTAGGTTCCTAGTGGAATATAGGGCTTCAACTGCACGTCTCCACTTGCCACCTCTGTCTTCCTTCTGTTGTACTTTTCACCTGCATCCATGTTAGTCCATATTGCTTCAACTCCTCTTGACACGATCTCCTCCATGTCACCCTTGCACTGACGTCCCACTCGTCGCTTGCTTCCCTTTCGGCCTGGTTCCACTAGAGAAATGGCCTGACGTGCACGCGATGTCACCTGACGGCCTCCTCCTCAGCGAGTGTCCAATCCATCTCAATCCACTTTCTCCTGCATATTTGTTGGTTGGCGATTGGTTTCTTCTTGTTTTATTTGCTCCCATAGTTTCTTGTTGGTGATTCCTTCCGCCCCCCACCCCCGGCCATCTGATCTTCAGTATAGATCTAGCGAAGACAGTTGTTATTTGATGAAGGTCTGCAACAGGCTGTTGGAAATATTCTTTGTGACCCGGCCGCCAAGTTTCTGATCCGTATAGAAGAACTGACTGACTTGACGTTTCTATTGAAAATTCGAATTTTGCATAATTATTATTGTTTGGAATAAAGTGATTATTATTATTCTTTTCAAAATGATGATAAGATGGCCGACTAGAAAGAATCACTACCAAGGTATCCTAGTATGCCGTGAACCAACCAAGAACCCATAATCCAATAAATATATAGATATGAAATGCATATGAATGTGACATACTCTCAGGAGACCTATAAATGACATCACATGCTAGGAAACAACGAACTGATCGGGAATCCAAGGGTGACATGCAGGCGATTGTATGAAAAAGAAATCGAAGCTTGTGGACAGTCGTGGAACCAGCTGAAACAGAGTGAAATGACGATGTGTACCTCCGAGGCTCTATATTTCTCTCAGAAATCAAGAGAATAATAACAATACTTTCAGGTTTGCCCACAGAATGATATCAGTTAGAGAACCATTCATTGAAAACCAGCACTGGCTTACGGGACAGCTAGCCTGTCTGTCTGTCTATTTTCGACATAGGACTTTGCACAAATGTGCGGAAGTTCAAGTCGCCACACTCCGTGTAGCACGCGAAGCAAGAGAAGAAAGTACAAGAAAAGCATAATAGAGACAGTAATCAGAGGTGTGAGACAAAGGAGTAATAACGAAGAACAAAAAAGTTTCATTGGAAATCATAAATCACAAGGAGTGGATGCATCGTCCCCCAGCCACTGAGAACGATTTTCAGCCGTCACCAATTGTTTCCAACCATAGATTTTTACCGTCCCGAGGACCCTTACCAGCCTGGAAGTCTACACCTTCCTACATGGCTTAGACCAACTGCTGTGGATTTCATTGACTGGTGAGGCCATGTTTTGGTTTGACCGCCGCTAGCTTTTTTCCAGCCTGACCCTATATCCGCTAACATTGCTCGTCGAGGGAGGCGATGGCTATGCTGGGCATACGTAACACATGTCCTAACCATCTCAGTCTTTGTAATTTCACGACTTCGTCGATTGATTTCTCCTGTTTACCTAGAACTCGACGCCTAACCTCAATGTTGCTCACCTTATTATGCCACTTTACACGGGAAATAGAGCGCAGGCACCTATGATCAAAGACAGCTAGCCAGGCTTTTCATGTCTTCCACTCTCAGTGGCCAGGTCTCACAGCCAGCCATGAAGGAGGACGGAGCGGACTGATGAGCAGTACACCCGCCCTTTGGTCGATAGTCGAATATCTCGTCTACGCCAGAGTCGGCGTAAACTGGCCAATGCGAAACGAGCCCCCTGTATTCGTGCTGAGATTTCGTCAGAGATCAACCCGTTGACGTTGGTTGATGGTACTTCCCAAATAAGTGAAGCGGTCAACGTGCTCTACCACTTCACTTCCTATTTTTAAACTAGGCATCGATGTAGTCCAGTCCTGTAACATCATCTTGCATTTGGCGGGAGCGAATCGCATGCCAAACATTCGTAGATTGCGGCTCAATGTGTTCAGAAGACTCTGCATTTCGTCAGCGTCTTCGCCTAGAAGGACTATATCGTCTGCATATTCCAAGTCAACGAGATTATTCCCTGGTAGCAAGTCAATCCCTGAGTCGCTGAAGTCACTTAGGGTTAAGTCCATTAACACATCTATGATGAAGTTGAATAGAAAAGGGGATAATGGGCATCCTTGACGGACACCACTGGTCGTCACCAGTTCAGATGACAGCTCGCCGTAAGCCCTCACCTGGCTGTATGAGTACGAGTAGAGTGCCTTAATCAGTGTAGTATATTTTCTCGGAATTCCCTTAACAGCCAAGCATCTCCAGAGAACTTCTCGATCGACAGAGTCGAATGCTGCCTTTAGGTCAAGAAATATAATGACTGTTGGACGCCGGTAGGAATGACTATGTTCTAGAATCTGTCGGAGGGTGAAGATATGATCAATACACCCTCTTCCTGGTCTAAAGCCTGCCTGGCTCTCTCGTGTTTGTGTCTCCCGAGCACCACTCAGTCTACGCATGATTATTGAGCCTAAGACTTTAGATACTATATTAGTCAAGCTAATCCCTCTGTGATTATCACAGGAAGACTTGTCTCCCTTCTTGTATATAGGGATAATCAGTGACTTACACCAACCCGATGGGACTTCTTCTGATTCCCAGACGCTGCCTAGTATTTCAGTTAATGCAGACAGTAAACTGTCTCCACCGTACTTAAATACCTCTGGAGTCATTCCATCAGGTCCCGCTGCTTTGCCTAGTTTCAGATTGGTGATAGCTTCAGTAACCTCAGTTAGGGATGGAGGACTTGTGTCTATATCCCATTCAGGGAGGTGTTGGATGCTCGGAAGGTTGAGTGTGGCTGTGGGCCAATTAAACTGCTCCTCATAATGCTCTTTCCAGCGATCCAGTCGTCTATCCTGAGAGCTAATTATAGTGCCATTTTTCTCCGAGATTGTTTCACTAATGATTTGTCTTCTCCCACCCGTTTCCCTGATGAGTCTAAACAGTTGTCTGGTGTTGCCTATCCTCGAAGCTTTCTCCATCTCTTTTGCTTTTGTCAGCCACCACTGTTCACGGTCCTTGCGGAGACTTTTCGTAAGTTTCCTTTTGTGCAGCTTTCGCTCCTCATTGAATTCGGAGCTCGCCGGAATAAGTCTTCTAGCATCTATCAGTTTGGACAGCTAGCAGCATGCATCCACTGCCACGGTTCGAACCTAGTACCTTCCAGTTACAAGGCAAGCTCTTATAGCATTCAGCCATTGGGACCCGATTCAATGCCCACCCCTACCACCCTTCATTCTTGAAAATAACATTACTGCTGGATAACACATCAAACACGTTTAGAAGAGAAAAACTCAATTGTGAAGCTATACAACATCACTGTATAATAAATTTCAAACGAAGTGCATACAATTCAAGGGCGAAGTAGTTATGGAAATTGAAACAGGTCAACAATCTCTATTTTTATATATTACAACTATTTGTGTAATGTATAAACGATAGGGAACAAAATGAATTGAAAATTGTTAAAAAATAGTTAGTAAGTCCACTTGAGAATGAATGTATTGAGTACAGTAAAAACGCATAGATATGCGATCTTTCTCTCTGAATCTTAGATAAACGACAATTTTATTGTCCAATTAACACCATTTGGTGACAGTATCAATTCTGTTAAACAGAGAAAAATTAAGCAATGAAAATTAAAAATGAACACTAGGATGCATCAATATACATACACATACATACCAACACACATACAGTGACTAGTCAAATTGGCTGATAGAATTTAATTATTGCCCACCAGAAGCACAATATACATGATCAATCACTGCGGTACTTTCATTTCCACCCCGTGTTAATTCCAAGTGGAACACATGTAGGTTCAAGCCTTAAAGTTTTCGGAAACAGCGGTTTGATTTTTACGGAGTAAGGTTGCTAGTCTTACGCCCAGCCTTCCGTTGTCCAAGAATCACACCCGCGTCTCCTACACAATTGGTAAAAGGATTTTACCATTCAACCACCACCAACGCACACTCCTAGAGAAAGTTAATTATGAGTCTGAATAGCTGAGTGGTTAGCACCGCTGACTGCAACACTTGGTGATGCCGGCTGAAATCTCAGAGATGACAGATACGTCTTGCTGAATAGAGCCAGAAGTTGTATTTACTAAGTTAAACAACAATCAAGATACTATCCAACCGCTTCTTTTTATTACTCCACGATCTAATATTCATTGCAGAAGTAGAGTAACCTGACTACTTCATTTATCGATTTAAATAAATTCGTAGTCTAAAATTCACACTAAGCACTGGATGGATTGAAATGTGTAGGAGAATACTAGGAAGTTACCAGTGGTCGATCCCTTCTTGTTTCTAGTCATCACAGTTTATAATCACACTCGTCCGCTTACGTCTGCTAAGTTTACTAATCTGTACTGATAGTCACCTACCTGTTTAACAATTATCAAACTTTAGCTTTAAGAAATGTTCTACAAGATGGCCAAATAAATACATTGTATAAAAAAAAGAAAAGATTTGTAGTATTCAAGTGCTGGTTTGTAGGGATTTGATTGGTTGCAGGATTTCATCATGAGCTGATATTAGTTAGAGAACCGTTGGAAAACCTGGGAGTACTGGACAGCTGTTTTGTCCTCGTTTGGGACTCTTCAACAGTACGCCGAGTAAATATCTGTCTGTCTATCTATTTTCAGCATAGGAATTTTTACCGATGTGCAGCAGTTCAAGTTGCTACATTACATGTAGCACACAAACCAAGAGAAGAAATGCAAAATCGAGACAGTAAACAGGGATATGAAACGAAAGAAATAGTAATAACGAAGAACTTTCATTGGGTATTATAAGTCACAAGGAGTGGATACATCTGTGCCAGCCACTGAGAACGATTTTGGACCATATCACCGATTATTTTTACCGTCCCGAGGACACCAACCAATCAGTCAGGCAGCCTATATCTTCTTATGTGGCTTAAACCAACTGTTGTGGATTTCATTGACTAACTGATGAAGCCATGTTTTGGTTTGACTGCCACTAGCTCTTTTCCAGCCTGACCCTATGTCAGCTAACACTGCCCACTGTCGAGGAAGGCGATGACTAGGCTAGGCATACGTAACACATATCCTAACCATCTCAGTCAATGTAGTTTCACAGCCTCGTCAATTGATTCCCCCTACTCTACAGTGATAAACACACAGAAATAGTGTTCAACTTTAATGCAGTTTATAGAGAGTTATGTCTTATAACATACTTTCAATTCTGTAACCAAATATACAGAGAGATAGAAGGAAGGATCAGTGGAATCACATATAAATCAGGGGGTAATTCCTGACGCTATTATGCAAAGACTGTAAACCAGAGTAGCCGCTCTATTAGTAATCAGACTAAAAATCTGTATACAATTTATTTAGATGACATAATTCTTTCCTAATAAGAAGATATGACTCTAAGTACAAACAACACTCACTTGTTAGTCAACAACACATTTTAAAGACTTTCAAGTATTGGTTTTGTAGGGATTTTGTTTGATTGCATGGAGGATTTAATCATGAGCTGACATCAGTTAGAGAACCACTGGAAAACCTGGGAGTACTGGACAGCTGTTTCGTCCTAGTTTGGTGAGGCAGTAACTCATCGAAGAAGACATTGCGAAGTGGTCGCGCTATGTCGTGAATTGGCAGAAGTTAGAATTCAAGGACCATTGGATCGGGTCCCAGTGGCTCAATGGTCTACGAGCTCGCCTTGTAACCAGAAGGTCCTGGTTTCGAATCCCGGTGGGTGCGTACTGCTGAAGAGTCCCAAACTAGGACGAAACAGCTGTCCAGTACTCCCAGGTTTTCCGGTGGTTCTCTAACTGATGTCAGCTCATGATTAAATCCTCCATGCAAACATTTGAAGACATCAAATTCATTCACTAAACACGAAGGATTCGGATATCAAAATTCCTTTCTGAGATGTTTTAGTCAACGCAGAACAAAACACAGGAAATCAACGCACACACACGTACGAGCCAAATACTCAGCTACAACACGGAAGAAACTTTGTACAAACATTATTCAAACGAGTCAAAAAGAAACTGATATGTATTCATATATATATATATATATATATATATATGTGTGTATGGTGGTCTCTCTTTCTGTTGCTCTCTTAGTCTGTGACCATTTCACTTTGATGAACCTGTCTCCTTTACCAATGTATATTCCCCTTATATTATATATAATATGTGTGTTTGTTGACAGTCTGATCTTGGCGACATGTATCCATATAAATTGTGTGTTTGTTGACATGTCTGCTATATTTTGCTATGTATGTATGGATCGATACTCCATTATAATTAGCTAATCATGTTAAGACTGTCTATTGATTTGTTCACACACTTGTTCGGACATTTATATATATTTTTGCTCTCACACTCTTGTGTGAGATTGCTTCTCCTTGTGTTTGGAAAATAGAAGTATCATCGCAAACCTAGTGGTCTTCTGATTTCCGTCTTTCTTGCGTCAGGACTATTAAATTCTCGACCAGTACATAGCAATAATTTCGCGACGAGTACATAACAATTTGGCGACGGGGAAAACTCAACTAATTCACTCAGCAGCAGAACATAACAGAAACACACTGCATCACTCTTCAATCCTGATGAGGATGGAAAAGAGATATTTACAAATTACCTTCAAGAAGGATGAATATCCATACAACTTTAACAGGGGAAATGTTTCAATTCAAAGCGAACTCTACCAACAAGAAACTGTCCTCACAAACCACATGAATGATGCTGAAATAACAGCTAGAATACTAAAACCATTCAGGAACAGATATAGTACAATCGTAAAACCAACATAATCACTTCATTCAATAAGAGACAGACTAAAAGATCCACCAAACAGCAAAAGAAGACAAGATCAACACTATCTACAAAATATGAATCGATGCATTAATTGCTAAAGGCATTTCATTGATCAAAGTGGGCCCTCTCCTTAGACTTCAAGACGAAGAACATGCATGTAGACAATTATGGAGACTAATTTGACTAGAGAAATGTAGAAGTTTTTTTGAAAACATTAAAAAAGTCAGAGAATTCCTAGAAGCCTGGTACTCAGGATAGTAAAGACTAGTGGCGACGGCTGGAGACGATTGGTGATATGAAGTTAATTGGTGGATGGTGACTAGCAGTGAAATCCAGGATAACGCGTATTTCGTCCTATTTGGGACTCGTTCTCCAGCTGGATATGCCTGCATTCCGCAGTGAGTGATAATGTTCCCCACCGAGGCTCGAACCCAATGCCCATACTTCCTAAAATTCAATTAAATAATTAATATGACCCGTCACAAAAGAGGTGGCTCTCGTGGTCTAGTAGATAACGCTTTGGCATCTGAAACTATGGGCACTAGGTTCGAGCCTGGGTAGAAACATCATCAATGACTCACTGTGGAACGCAGGTACATCCAGCTGACGCGAGTCCCAAACAGGTCGAAATGCCCGTTATCCTGGAGACTACTGCTACTCACCATCCACCAAATAACTTCTAATTAAATGCCCAGACATCGTCGAAGCATCTGCACAAGAAGCTGACATGTCAACCTAAGAACAAGTGCTTCGGTTTAATCAATCGACGGGAAAATCTAAAATTCAATTAAATTGGTGATATGGTTCAAGGTGGTCATTGTCAATGGCTGGCAGAGATACATTCACTCTTTATGACATGCCAGTCAAATCCAATCAAACTCTATTGTTCTTCTATAATTACTATTCTTTTTCCCTCACTCACACTTGTGTTTATTATCTCTCTCTCTTTACTTTCTTCTCTTGATTTGTTTGCTACATGGAGTGGAGTGTGGCAACTCCAGCTGAGTAGTGCACATCTGTGCAAAGTTGTTCTACGTTGAAAGCAGTTAGTCAGTCAGGTACTCAGAAAACGATCTAACTAATAAGTTACATGGCAAAATAGTTAAATTCCAAGTCATTAATAAAAAAATGGTCAAATTAACAATCAGTCAGAACGAGCATTTAATAATACGAAATATTCCCATATCATGAATTAAAAGTCAATCTGAACGAAGAATATTCTTTTCAATAATCTCTCCTCTTCAGGTTCTTACAATTATAAAATATGCAATATTTGTTATCGTTACAATAATGGCCAGTTAGTGATGCGGCGGATACATATTTAACGTAGAATAACAGATTACTAGTTATGGGGTGTCAAAATAAATAGGCGAATTAGGCAGCTTCGTCTACGGGTTCGAGAACACTTAGCAGCTTGGTTCAACACTTGATTTGATTGGTAATAGTATTTGGAAATAGTAATGGAAAATACTATTACCAATCAAATCAAGAGAAAAACAATGGAACTATATAAATGAATTTAAGAAGTCGTGTGATTACCTTGATATGATTATGAGTGGCAATAAATTGTGCTCGAAACGTCATCAGTAAACATTACTGTATAACACTGTGAGACTTTATCAAAAAAAATTTACCCATAATGGAATTAAATCATAGTATGCTTGTGTGGCAAGCGTGTTAGGCCGAAATCGATTACAAAATATTGTAAAATGGGAGACAGTGGTGGTGATTAGTCATAATCGATTTGTAGAGTGTGGGATAGGAAAATTGACAAGTAAATTCAAGGTTATAAAATGTGTCAGGTGAGTGAATGGTGTGTACAAAGTGGTCTGTATTAAACAGGAGATAGTAAGACTGTAGTGAGAGGTTCATTCGTCATGAAATAACCAATGTGTGAAATGAGACGGGTGGAGAAAAGAGATAATATCACTAATAGTAAGTCCGGATAGCATAAATGGAAAATTCGATAGTACTGAGAGAATGTTTGCATGAAGGGCATAAATTATGACGAATAATAATAATTCTAATAATAAGCAAAGGGGGAGAAACCAAGACGGCTAAGGAGAAGAAGCACTTTTGGTGATAAGAAGAATCATCAATCCATGGTAGAAACAGCGTCTGGACGTGTTCTTCTTGAATACAAAGTTCCGGTTTAGTCGATCTTATTGCAACAGCTTCAGCAATGTGTAGGAGACGTAAGCGAACTGTACGTGATAACGACTTCGGAATTCGGTATGTGACCCTGAAAGCTGTGTTGGCATCGATACGATGCCCAGTATTGACGAAGTGTGACAGGATCCAGCTTTTTATGCACTTTATTTCCCCTTTGTTGAACCAAGCTGCTAAGTGTTCTCGAACCCGTAGACGAAGCTGCCTAATTCGCCTATTTATTTTGACACCCCATAACTAGTAATCTGTTATTCTACGTTAAATATGTATCCGCCGCATCACTAACTGGCCATTATTGTAACGATAACAAATATTACATCATATTTTATAATTGTAAGAACCTGAAGTAGAGAAATTATTGAAAAGAATATTCTTTGTTCAGAACGAACACTGTCAGCAGATACAATTACATCATTTATTGGTAAAGTACTTTATAAAATACATGCTACATACTGAAGTTTCCCCACTGGGGAGATGCTGTCTAGCAAGACAATGAAAGGTTCGCAACTATGTCAAGAACATTTTATGTTTGTCTGTTGAGAAACTGTGCTTCAAAGACAACAGGTAATAACATTCTCACTTGTAATACAAAATAACCTACCTTAGAAGTTTGATTAGTAAAAAGATTCAACGTGATATCTTGTATCTTTTTAGCCATATTTTCAACATCAGATACAGATAATTCTTCACTATTTTGCTTTAATTTCTTCTTGGTAGAAGCCAATAAGTTTAAAACATCGTTTGTAGGCCCTGTGGGTAGTTTCGCCTTGAATTCACCAACCTTCTCTTCAACATCTTCAATAAGGGAATAAGTTTGACGAATAACTTCAGCTAGTTGATACTTTTGTTGATCAGATAATTGATTTTGTTCAACCTGTTCACGATTAACAGTTGTCTTTTTCGCATTGACTACAATTTCTTGTTTTTTTCCAGTCTTCATATCTTTAGCAGATACATTTACAATACCATTAGCATCAATATCAAAAGTGACTTCAATTCTTGCCAGACCACGTGGAACAGGTGGAAGTTCTACCTAGAATAGGATAACACAACAAAAGCGTATATATATATATATATTTTCCTCCACGTTCCTCAGTGGAACATAGGGCTTCAAGCTAGTGGATTGAAGTTTCTGTAGCAGTGGCGATTACTTTCACAGGATGGGAGTTGCTAGCCTCAGCTGGCCCAACCTTTCCTCTTTACCAGCATTATTTCTGGCTTAGCGAGGCAAATGAGTGCGCGTCAGTGGTCGGGGATCGAACCCCGGTCCATGTGCATGGTAGGCGAGTGTCCTAACCGCTATGCCACCGACGCACAAAGCGTATATATATATATATATATATATATATATATATACACATTCCTTTTTTTCTTTTTGTGTAGACTATAATACTTATCCCAGGAATCTGTTACTTCAATCAATAAACGAAGCTGTGAAGTTATATTGATCGAGATAGTTAGGACATGTGTTACGCCTTGATATAAATATAAAACTTGGGTATTGTGGTAGAGTATAGCTCCATTGTGGATAAGATTTTATTTTGATAAATCACACACAGTGTTATGATGACTGATGACGTTTCGAGCAGAAATTATTGCTCATAATTATACCCAGGCATTACTCGCACAACTTCCTTGCTTCATTTATATACATGTGTGGAATTGACTAGAAATTTAAATAAAAATCAGAAATAATACGAGTGTTATTGATCAATTACAATCAGATGGGAAATAAGACGAGTGTTTTTATAGTCATAATAATAAGTGACTTGTTGGAATGTTGTGATCTGCTTGAATTGAAATAGAATTTTAAGATTATTTATTATCCTCCTCTGATTTGACTGACTGGTGGTAATAATATCTTCCATAGATATCTCTGGTATTTGCATTGAGTCATTTCTGTTACATGTGTTGGGTGTAGACTCAATGAACCAGGCAGGATTCAGGAATCAATCTCCCTCTCAACCTACATAGATTACTGCTTAGAATCTTAACCGTCTCCCACCTAATTGTCTGGTTGTATGTTAATGCATGTAGTGCAATTGCTGAGCTTTTTTTCTAAATTACTTATCTTCTCTGGGTGAACCATCCTTACATTACGCATGTCTAGCCAGCCATCGCCTTCTTCAACAGTGGGCAATGTTAGCTGACTGGCATAGGATTGATCAGGTTGGAAACGAGACAGCTAGTAGTGGTCAAACCAAAACATATGGCTTCATCAGTCAATAAAATCCACAACAGTTTAAGTTAGCCAGCCAGCCACGTAGGGAGGGTGTAGACTGCTTGACTGACTTGCAGGGATCCTCGGGATGGTAACAACAAATAAAGGCTGGAGATAATGGGTTGCGACATGGTCGAACTCATTGTTCTCAATGACTTGAAATATCCAATAAAACCATATTGTTCTTCCATATTACTATTCTGTTTGCTTCATATCTTTGTTTCGAATCACTTTTTACTCTTTTCCCTTGCTTTGTGTGCTACATAGAGTACAGTGTGGTAACTCGAACTGAGTGGTGCACATCTGTGCAAAGTTCTACGTTGAAATCAGTCAGTCAACCATTTTTTTTTAATTATTTTAAGTTCAGGCAAACACAATCTTGATTTTCGTGTTGAATAAGGCATTCAGAAGACAAATAGTAAGGGTTACCTTGACAGATTTGTAAGGAGACACATGAACAGACTAGGTATAATAAATTTAATGGGGACGTGGTTAGTGAATTCTTACATCTAAGATTATCTGTCACCACCCCTTTTTTGTCATTTTCCAAATACTGACCAATTATAATTGCTCAAGCGAAAGACAAGCCCTGCCTAGCTGTGCCACTTTTGTGTATCTAAATATTTAACAGCTCCTATGGAGAAAGGTGGCTATATGTAGGGCGAACAGTTGGACAACTCAACATACGTATATTAATGAGCAACTTCCTTCATGGTTCCTCGAAAGGCCAAGTAAAACCTATAAGAAGTTCTATTTTGTCTCATTCGACTGATGATGGTGGTCACCAAATGGACAGAAAAAAATGCCTTCACAATAGTTATTCTATTGCATTCCATCGAACCTTTCGAATGGAATTCGAACCCAGCTGAAGAGGACCGCAGAAAATAGAACAAAGTGGAGATATGTTGTTGAAGCCGTATGTTTTACTCGGAACCAAAGGGAGTAATAACAATAATAACGAGGTGAAGAAAAAGGTTTAGAATACAAAGTTTAGCTTTTTATCCATGTATAACTAGAGCTTCAGATATCTGTAAGCGAAAAAAATATAAACTTTTACAGTGACTGAATTTAACCCTACAGATTTAAATTCAATGAACTAATCGTGTCTGTCTGTTTTCGACATAGAACTTTGCACAAATGTGCGGAAGTTCAAGTCGCCACATTCCGTGTAGCACGCGAAGCAAGAGAAGAAAGTACAAGAAAAGCATAATAGAAACAGTGAGCAGAGGTGTGAGACAAAGGAGTAATAAAGAAATACAAAACAGTTTCATTGAAGATCATAAGTCACAGGGAGTGGATGCATCTGCGCTGGCCACTGAGAACGGTTTTGAGCCATGTCACCAATTGTTTCCAACCATTGATTTTTACCGTCCCGAGGACCCCAGCCTGGAAGTCTACACCTTTCTACGTGGCTTAGACCAACTGTTGTGGATTTCATTGACTGGTGAGGCCATGTTTTTGTTTGACCGCCGCTAGCTTTTTCCAGCCTCACCCTATATCCGCTAACATTGCTCATTGTCGAGGAAGGCGATGGCTTGGCATACGTAACACATGTCCTAACCATCTCAGTCTTTGTAGCTTCACGACTTCGTCGATTGATTTCCCCTGTTTACCTAGAACTCTACGCCTAACCTCCATGTTGCTCACCTTATTATGCCACTTTACACGGGAAATAGAACGCAGGCACCTATGATCAAAGACAGCTAGTCTTTTCATGTCTTCCACTCTCAGTGGCCAGGTCTCACAACCATAAAGGAGGACGGAGCGGACTGATGAGCAGTACACCCGCCCTTTGGTCGATAGTCGAACATCTCGTCTACGCCAGAGTCGGCGTAAACTAACAAATGCGAAACGAGCCCCTTGTATTCGTGCTGAGATTTCGTCAGAGATCAGCCCGTTGGGGCTGATGGTACTTCCCAAATAAGTGTGGAATTGAATGATCTGTATCAAGAATTTGTCCAAAGATAATAGACTGTGTTGTCCTATTATTATTATTGTATTATTATTGCCTTGGGTTCTGATTGGAACACTTTTTTACTTTTTTATTTTTTATTTGCTACCGTCCTCTTCAACTGCGCCCACGAATGCTCATCATCTGGCATCTTCTCCTCGCCAAACGATCTCCTCTATGTCATCGTCGCACCGACGACCCACTCGAGGGCCTGGTGCGCGATGTCATTCGACGGTTTCCTCAATATATGCCCGATCAATCCATTTCCACTTTCTCCTACATATTTGCTGAGTGATCGGCTCTTGACTGGTTTGTTGCCAACCTGAGTTTCTTGTTGTTCATTCTTTCCTCCCAGCCATTTGATCTCCAGTATGGAGCCAGCCAGAGAAGATGGCAGCTGTTAATGAAAGTCTGCAACCTGTTGGAAATCCTTTTAGTTACACGCTAAGTTTTTGACCGGTGTACAAGAGCTGGCCAACTTCACATTGGTGTCGAAAATTCGAATCTTGTTCTCAATGCAGGCTGAGTCAGCGCAGAAGATTTCCAAACTGGTTTCAGGTTGATGAAGGCATATCTTGCCTTTAAAATTCTGGCTGGCTTTGATATTTTCACGCGTTCCGCCTGTTGTTGAAACTGTGCTTCTTGGCCAGATAAGTGAAGAAAGTAATCTCTTATCAAATGTTTCCCGTTGATGGTGATTGGTGCTGGTTGTTGACTATTGCTTGGTTGGTGGGTATCTTCGTCACCTCCATCTTCTCTATGTTCGCCTGGATTCCTGTGTTCACTGCCTGCAAGCTTCTTCAGCCAGTTTGTTGCTTTTCGCCTGTCTGCAAGTCTTCGAGTTTGTCTGACATTATATCGTCAGCATAATCCAGATCTTCTACAGTCTTCTTATCGATGGTATCACTGTCACTAACCACTCATAGTGTAGCGCATAATCCAGTCCACCACAATTAATAGGCAGACAATCTTGTCTTACTCCTGTGTTCACTTGAAACGCCTCGCTGAGTTTCCCAATGTGAATCACCTGACACGTACCACTGTCATATAGCTAGCTGATGAATTAGGTTGATAAAGACTTGGAGCACTGCACACCGCCGTGTTGAAGTAGTTTCCAAATTATTTCTCCATCAACACTGTCTAGGGAAGGCCTTTTGAAAATCGCCTTTTATCAACCAAATCCGGTGGTTTTGAACTGCAAATTTCCAGAGAACACGCTTACGGCGTCCACATTGGGTGTAATCAACTTTCTAGGAGCTTATCAAACACTAGACGCACATAGAGATAGAGATAAGCGATAGTTTATCATTCATGCATTGTGTCAAATCATACTTCCGCTGGAGAATACTAATTGTATATCAGTGACATATAAGCGTGCTTAAATACACCTGGATCAGTCTAAAGAATTAATTCGTTAACTATGTGGAATTGCACGAGCTAGACTATGATGGACTGCTTTTTGAAATGTGTGGGCAGTTGTTACTTCTCGGCTGCCAAACCCCACCACACCGTGGAAGTTGATTGTCTCTTCGGGTACCTGAAACAGAAAGAGGGTTAGTGTTGCATGACTGCAGAGTCCAGGGGACATCTGATTGAAGCCGATCACACGGCCTGTATCAACTGGTTTACTTGGAATGGTTCCGCATTAGTTCCGCCGGTTACGGACCACCGTAGGGGAAGTCGGGATGTACAATTGTTGGGGTCGACCTTTTCAAACCCTCTCCTCCAAAAGCGGAGAGACAGCATAGCTGGCTGGCATGCTGGTCATCTGACAGAAACACCTCATCGCTGTTACATCCCTGTTCCCCAGCAGTACGACTTCGCCCACAGACCCCCAGCACAGTGTAAAAGAACAATACTTACACTATGCCGATAACTGCTTTTAGTCTAATCACTATCTTAACAACCTTCCTGGCATGGTAGGACCTTCAGGAACAATAGTTCCAGCCAGTGTAGCTTGTTGGGTCATTGAGATATGCAAGCCCGGTGACCACCACGTCAAGATACCATAAACAATTTTCAGTGTCCAAAAATATTAGTGATAACAACTAACCGCCTGCCTTAAAACTAAGTCGACAGGTATGATTCAAAGGCATAGAACACATGTCGAAAATGTAAGAATAACTTAAGCACACAAAATAATTTGTCACAAAAAATCAAAAGTACGTGGACTTATTATTATTATATTATTATTGCTCCCTTGGGTTCCTAGTGGAAAATACGGCTTCAACTGCACGTCTCCATTTTCTTCTGTCTTCTGCTGTACTTTTCGCCTGAATTCATGTTAGTCCATATTCTTTCAACTCCTCTTCACACGATCTTCTCCATGTCACCCTTGGACGTCCCACACGCCGCTCCCCTTTCGGGTTCCACTCGAGGGCTTCACGCGCGATGTCACCCAGCGGTCTCCTCAGCGAGTGTCCGATGCATCTCCACTTTCTCCTGCATATTTGTTGGGCGATTGGTTCTTGCTTTGTTTCTTCCCATAATTCCTTGTTGGTGATTCTTTCCGGCCATCTGATCTTCAGTATAGAGCCAGCGAAGACAGTTGTTGATAAAGGTCTGCAAACTTTTGGAAATATTCTTTGTGACTCGCCCGCCAAGTTTCTGATCCGTATAGAAGCACTGACTTTACGTTTGTATTGAAAATCCGAATTTTGTTGGTGATGCTGAGTGACGAAGATTTCCAGATTGATTTCAGGTTGATGAATGTGTTCCTCGCCTTCCCGATTCTCGATTTGACATCCTCGTCCGCTCTTCCTGTAGTTGAGACAATGCTCCCTAGATAAGTGAATGAAGTAACCTCTTTCAAATCCCTCCCGTTGATGGTGATTAGCGCTAGATGTTCCTGTTGCTGTTGTTGGTTGGTTGGTTGGTTGGTTATTTTCATAACCTCCGTCTTGTCTATGTTCACCTGGAGTCCTGTCTTCACTACCTGCTTCTTCGACCAGTTTGTCGGTTTTCGCTTGTAAGTCTTCCATTATGTATGACATCAAACATAAATCATCCGCGAAATCCAGGTCTTCTAGGTTCTTCACGTCGGTCCAGGATATTCCTGTCTTCTCGTTTCCCACAGTCTGACGCATAATCCAGTCCACCACAATTAGGAATATCATTGGTAATAATAAGCAGGCACCCTTGTCTGACTCCTGTGTTTACTCCAAACTCCTTGCTGAGTTTTCCGTTGTGGATCACCTGACATGTGCCGTTGTCGTACAGCTGTTGAATAAGGTTGATGAATGTTTGGGGTACACCATAGTACTCGAGTAATTTCCAAATTACTTCACGACCAACGCTGTCGAAGACCTTCTCAAAGTCTATAAAGTTGAGGTAGAGGTTTGATCGCCATTCCATGGTTTGTTCTGTGATGATGATGCGTACAGTTGCAATTTAGTCAGTACATGATTTGCCTTTCCTGAATCCAGCTTGTTCTGGTCGGAGTTCTGTCTCCAGTGCGTCCTCGTCAGATACTAGCTTGCTAGGCTACTAGCTTACTAGTTTCCTCGCCGGTCCCAAGCCCGGGTAAAGAGGGAGGGTTGGGGCGTGGTGCTAGCAACTCCACCCCTGTAAAACAACCAAATCGCTACAGAAACTTCAACGAATAAATATATTAAAAATTCTAAAAAAAAAAGTACGTGGACTTACCAAAGTAAATTCACCCAAAAGTATATTATCAGCTACCATTTCTTTTTCACCTTGATAAACACGAAATTCTACTTGAGTTTGGTTGTCAACAGCCGTTGTAAATACTTGAGTCACTTTAGTTGGAATAGTTGTATTACGATGGATCATTTTAGTCATAACACCGCCTAACGTTTCAATGCCTAACGATAATGGTGTTACATCCAACAGCAGGACATCTGAAACATCACCACTTAAAATTGCACCCTAAATAAAGGGGATAGAAACAGGGAGTTAGAAAAGAAAAAAAATCAATTAGTTGAAGGGTTTCATCATGAGCTCTGACGTCAGTTAAAGAACCATTGGAAAACCTGCAGGGAGTACTGGATAGCTGTTTCGTCCTAGTTTGGGATTCGGGGTCTCAGTGGCTTAATGGTCTACAAGCTCGCTGGCCTTGTAACCAGAAGGTCCTGGGCACACTTTGGCACTGCGGTAAAGTAGTATAATTACATCATATAATACACTTATTTAATGAAAGCACATAGTGACACAGTATTCCTTATTTACTGAATATGTTTCGGGCATAATTTGTATTGCTACTCATAATCATATCAACCTGCTCACTTAAATAACTTTCAAGCTTTATTTATTTAATTTCATGATTTCAAAGCCTTTCCTCGATTTTATTGGTAGTAATATTTTCCAATTCACCTGTGGTATTGGCACTGCATCATTCTATGAACAAAGATTGACTAATTAACCTCTCCCTAAAACTACCTACTACTCATCTCATCTGTTAACTGTATAAACAAGCCCAATTAAACGCCTAACACAAACGGAGTGAAAACTATAAACAGTACGTCGGGAGACCTAAATAATGGACAGAAACACATGACTGACTAACTGGTTTCAACATAGAACTTTGCGCCGATGTGCGGCACTTCAAGTAGCCACACTTCACTTAGGACATAAAACAAGAGAAGAATGTGAAAAAAAACAGAGATACGAGGCAAAAAGAATAGTAATACGAAAGAACAATAGAATTCTATTGGATATTATAAGTTAGAAGGAGTGGATGCATCTGCGCCAGGCCAGCGATTGACAACGATTACTTTGAGCCACATCACCAACCACTGTTTCCAGCCTTCATTGGTTTTTACCGTCCCGATGACCCCAACCAGGATGTCTGCACCTTCCTATGTGGCTTAAACTAACTGTTGTGGATTTCATTGACTGATGAAGCCATGTTTTCGTCCGACAGACACTAGCTATCTCTTTTCCAACCTGATCAATCCTATGTCAGTCAGCTAACATTGCCCACTGTCGAGGAAAGCGATGGCTGGCTAGACATGCGTAACACATGTCCTAACTATCTCGATCGATGTAACTTCACAACCTCGTCTATCAATTTCCACTCTTTACTTAGCACTCGACTGAAGCCTAACCTCAATATTGCTCACCCTGTTATACAACTTTACACGGAAGATAGAACGCAGATACTTATGATCAAAGACAACTAGCTGGCTTTTTCGTATCTTCCACTTTCAATGTCCATGTTTCACATCCAGCCATGAAGGGGACAGAGCGAACTGCTGAGCAGTATACACCGCACGTCCTTTGGTCGACAGCCAGCCGGATATCACGTCTACTAAGCGAGAGATGGAGTAAGTTGGGAGGCATATGCGAAATGAGCCTTCTGTACCCGTGCTGAGATTTCGTAAGCTATCAACCCACTGGCGTTCGCCAATACAACTCCTCAAATAAGTGAAGTGGTCAACACGCTCCACCGACATCTTCACTGTAGACTAAAGAACCCTAGTAGCCGAATTAGACAAAATGATTTCCCCTCCAATATACCTTGCACTAACTGTGAGGGCAACCACACACAGGTTAGACCAATGTATCAGGGATAGTCAAATTATCGGAACATAAAAATGTTGCCGTGTAGAATGAACTACTTCCACGAAGATAAATAGTTTGGAGAAAGACTTAGCAATCACAATGAATGCATTAACAAACAGAAAACACACACACACGTACAATAGGGTTGAATAGAGCTACAGTTCTGAAAAATAATACAGGTAGGTGGAGGGAAAAGTTGACTAATCAATCTTTGTTAATTTAATCTACACAAAACATACAATAGGAATGATACAACGATAATACCAAACATTGGAAAAATATTACTACTAATAAAATCAAAGAAAAGAATAAGAACTAATGGAATTATATAAACCAAGTTTGTAAATTATGTGAATACTGTGATTCAACTTTGACCGATAAGCTGTGTTCCCAACGTCATCATTAAACAATACTGTATAATAATAATAATAATAATAATAATAATTTTTTACTTTATTCCAGAAACAGTACTAATGATACAGCAAGGAATTTTCAGCATTCACTACAATATTGCATCTAATTTACTCAAAACGACAGAAAATAAACACTACGTAATAATAATAATAATAATAATAATAATAATAAAACGTTATAGCAGTTATGTAGCAAATTACAGTATGCGATAAGGGGAAAAATAAGCATAAAGTACAAAATTGTAGTAATAATAGTAATAACAACTAAAATAAAATAGCAAAGTTATAATTAAACGATAGAAAGGGTGACACCATAAAATTACGGAAAGATGAACAATGAAAGGATCGATTCACTCCGGTAATTACATATTAACTTATGTTTCACGTCTGACAGAGTCTCCGTCACATAAAGTACGGGCTAAATAGGATATTGTAGAATTTCTGTACTTAGTGGTGCGAGCATATAACTTCTTATGTAGACTTCTCGTCCTACCTGATGAGATGCAAGGGGACACTTGTGAATAAAGAGGGTGCAGAGGGTTTGGCAGTACGACCTTTGCCCATTTTGTACAGAATTTTATATCTTTCGACTATAATATTGGCAAGCTCGAGCAGTGGTATACCAGTTCGGTGCAAAGTTCTATGTCGAAAACAGACAGACAGACAGTGGTATACCACAAGCCCTACTCACAGCATTTAATACCCTTTGTAATATGATACAGTCTTTTTTGAGAAGCCCAGGAAAGATTAGTGGAGGGCAATAGAAATGAAATAAAAATAACTAAAAAAACTAAAAACACTTTGGCACTGCGGTCGGGTATACAATGCTTCGGTGCGGGCTGCGCTGCTGTACGCCTGTGAAACCTGGCCTCTCCAAGTGGACTGAGGATGTGCGGCGACTCTGCGTGTTCGGTCATCACTGTCTCTGCAGAATTGCTTGCGTTCGATGGAATCATCGCGTGAGTAATTCTGAGGTTCGGCGGCGTGCGTTTGAACGCAGTGGAGATCACTATTCATTGAGTGTCGTCATCTGGAAACACCGACTCCGGTGGTGGCTTAAACATGTACTGGGAATGTCATCCCAGAGGCTTCCGTACAGGTCTCTGTTCGCTAGCCAGCCTTGGGACGGCATGGAAAAGGCGGACGGGTGGTCAGTCCATGACGTGGCGTCGTGAGATGAAGGATATTTGTGCTAGATTAGCATCGGTTGGTGTGTCACAACTCCCTGGTTGAAGTCCGCGAGATGGCTCGAAACGTTATCGGATATGGCCAAGAATCGTAATCAGCGGCAAACGTGTTGCTATTGCCTTCTTTTTTCCCTTCCCGATGATAGTTAACCAATACTGTTTGAACTTATTAAGCATGACTGTTTTCCTTCTAGATGAAGTTCTTTATGCGTTCTCTACTTATTTATTTTTTTACTTTTGATCTATGTTGTTTTATTATTATTGTGTGGTGCATCTTTTTTGGTACCATAGTGTACCAAGTTTTTTCTGAGTTTAAATAAATTGGCACTGCAGTAGAGTGTGCTTTTATAAAATAAATCTATTCTAAGATGGAATTGCACTCTATCACATTATCTAAGTTCTATTCCCATATCAATATCCAAGATCACTTCACCAGAAAGTATGTACATGAAATAATTTAGAAATACTGGTATATCTTTCATAAAAAAGATTTTACATAATATTTAAAATAATTAGTCCCATTGATAAATTTGAATAAGACATTTAGAAGACAAATTTCGCGAGATGATGTCACCATTTCATAGTTTCCTCTACAATCACCCTACAAGTAACATGGTTCAAAACAATAAAATAATATAAAATGCATGACAATTACTCAGTTATATAAAAGACAAGAGTACATACTAATAACCAATCATCACATTTAAATAGGTCAAGTATACTCGTCATGGTAGGCAAAGGTTGATGTATATTGTTTTTCGTACACACGGTTTGGGATCTATGTGATTAATCCCCCAAAGTACTTCCGTCAGGGTTATTAAAGGTGATGGAAGCATTTTGGATTCACCACATACATCCTAAACTATGTGTACAAAAAACAACAGACTTCAACCTTCGCCTACCATGGACTACTTGACCTACTTAAATATGATTGGTCATTAGTATGTACTTTTGTTTTTTACATAACTGAGTAATTATATGTCAAGCAGGGATAGGACAACTCAATGCCTCGCAGTGTGGTAGCTGCTAGGTATATTCCGTGTCCGACACGTGGCTGGGCAAGCTTACGTATTCCTTTTGGTGTCTGGACTGGAACATGTGTTTGGTTAGGCTCATTAAGTCTGGTGTTATGCCAGAGCAATGACCATAAACTATGCACCGGATTTCGGGGTGCAGGAGTCGACACGATATCTAATTGTGGTATGATATGTATCCACATATATATATTTATGTGTGTGTGTGCATGTTGGTCTCTCTTTCTGTTTGCTCGGTTAGTCTGTGACCACTTCACTTGTATGGACTTGTCTCCTTTAATAATGTGTATTCTCCTTATATTATATTATATATAATATGAGTGTTTGTTGACAGTCCGTTGCTTGGTGACATATAGCCATATATGTTTGTTGGCATGTCTGCTATATTCGCTATGTATAATTGGATCGACACTCCATTATAATTAGCCATTCATGTTAAGACTGTCTAATGATTTTTCCCACGCTTTGTCTGAATTATTTATATATATTCGCATTCACAATTTGTGTGAACTACTTTACTTTACAACTACTTTACTTACTTACCACTTTGGTGTGAGACCATTTATTTTCGTCTCCTTGTATTTGGACAATAGAAGTATCATCGAAAACCTAGTGGTCTTCTGATTTCCGCCTTCTCGCGTCAGGACTATTAGTTTCTCGACCAGTCCATAACAATAACTTAGCGACGAGTACATAACAGGTATGAGCGTGAGGATACTAAATCGTTTGTAGACGACTTAGTGTTTTGTCGAGCAGCTATCACACTGCGAGGCATTGAGTCCTATCCCTGCTTGACGTAAATGAGTAATTCATATGCATTTTATTTTATTATTGCGAACCATGTCAGTTGTAAGGCAACTGTAGAAGAAACTATGAAATGAAGATATCATTTCGCGAAATTTTACATAGTAGGCAATAGGCAGAATGAAATTCTCTTCTACGGTTACAAAAAAATAGAATAGATACGCACTTGTATAGCAGCGCCCATAGCAATGGCTTCATCGGGATTAACAGTTATGTTAGGAGCACGCCCAAATATGCTTTCTACAACTTCGTGGATCTATTTGAAACACATACAAAAAAAATATAAAAACGAAAAAGCAAAGGTAAAATGTATGTGATATATGTTGCTTATCTTTATTGTTAATACAAGAAGAGTTCAATACGAGAGTTAAAAACAACAGCGAAACCGACACTGAATATTTGCTTTGGAACAAACACTTCGAAAGACAACACTTACATTTTCATTTTTATCAAAACAAACACGTGTGCAAGTATTGGCTGGTACGGATTTGATTGATTGGTTACAGGATTTCATTATGAGCTGATATCGGTTAGAGAGAACCATTGGAAAAGCGGCCTGGAAGTACTAGACAGCTGTTTCGTCACCCTTGTTTGGGACTCTTCGTTAGCACGCACCCACCACAGGGGGTTCGAACCCAATACCTTCTGATTACAAGGTAAGCTAACTCGTACACCATTAAGCTACTGGGAGCCGATCCAATGGCCAGCCCATGGGTTCTAACTTCTGCCAATTCACGATATAGTGCGACCGTTAGCCAGGTGTAAGTTTAAGAGATCCTTTCACAATTAAATGTTTATTTACACCTGAAGCTGTGTACAGACAACATAGACTATTGGGTAAAATTTATTGTAGATAAGTTCAGTAAAAAATTTGTAACTCTACACCAGCCAGTGCTGTATACAGGAAGAATTTGTAAAGCGCCATTTACTGTCACTGGAGCGTCGATGTTTCATGGAGTAACAAACTAGCCAACTGCACACACGATTACAGTTCGACTCCCAGCCGAAGCACTCCTAAGCCTCAACTAATCTGTAGTGATCTCAGAAAAGAGGAAGAGCCAGCCTTGAGATTAGCACCTTTACCCCATTAAAATTACACAAGCGCTACTGAGACTTCAAAGCTTAGGGCTTGAAGTCTTATGTTCCACTAGAAACACAAAGAAAGGTAAACAATCCATCCAACCATGTTGAGGATTCGAAGTATCGTACTACAGAACAATTTGTTGCCAACTTTTTACCCGGAAATTTTTCAACGTTTGATACTGATATCATTCTCATCCGTTTAATTTTCTGTCAGCTTACACTTTTCTTGCTTACACAAATATCAGTTTTAAACAATATTAAGAAGAGGAAAAGAAAATGCAACTGTAACAAAATGCAAATTTACACTCACTTTTGGCATACGAGTCATACCTCCAACCAAGATAACCTCCTTTACTTGAAAAGGTTTTAAATTAGCATCCAATAAGGCTTTTTGACACGGTAACACAGTCCGTTGTACCAAATCCTCGACTAGAGATTCCATTTGACTACGTGTAAATTCCAGTGATACATGTTTCGGTCCAGATGAGTCTGTGAAGAAATGTGGTAAACTCACCACAACCTACGAGATGATCAAAAAAAGATGGAATATGTCGTGTATGTTTTTCAACAAGCATTACATTAACAAAAGTTAAAACTCCTCGATGAAGAAACGTAAGCAACAATCTGTCAGACAAACAAAATCTCATGTTAATATTCATAAAAAAATTCAAGGACCCATAGTTTTGAGCTAACCACTGTAGTTATAAATGACGAAATAATTGAGCCACATATATATTTGATATTAGATAGTTGGAGGCAATCGACCACCGGAAGTCCTACCTGACCTATGTTTCGTGCTAGTTGGTAATCGTCAGTCAGTCAGTAAAGTTTATCTGCAACCTTGATGGAACACGTGTCTTGTGAGATTCGGATCCGCGTCACCCAGCGCTGTAGCCAGAGACGTTACCACCACTGAGCTATCCGGGCTCACGACTGACCTCCTTCTTTTAGGAATGTGTTGGATACTTTGATTGGACACTAGTAACTAGGGTGATGTGTCTAGTCCTTTATTTTGGCCCAGACTGCTGATTCCACATTGGTTTGTTTATTAGATGTACCGCATAGTGAAACAGTATTATTTACTGGATGACGTTTCGAACAAAATTCATTGCTTATAATCATATAAATTATAATCACACGACTTCGGAACTTGAGTCTTATAGTTTTCTTTGTGTTCTCATATTTGTCGTCGTTGGGGTAGTAGACTGCTGATTGCCTCCAACCATCTAATATCAGCAAATCAATGTGTACCGTGATGGCGACCTACCTAGTTGCATGGTTGCCACACTGTAGAATTCAGTCTGCACCAAACAAAGGACTACATACATCACACTAGGTACTAGTGTCCAATTAAAGCCATATATTTATTTATATTTCAATATTCATCTAAGCACAAACTTGATACATTACGGTCACAAAGAAATCCATCACAAAAATCATAAATAACAACAATCTTTCAGAAAAACTAGGTAGAAACAACAAGGGCGGGGGTCATTACATGAGCATTCTCACTGGGTAAATCCAAAAGAACGATGATTACATTCTATTACTTTTGATAGACGATGGAACGGAAAAACTACAGAGGGATAACAACTGATTTAAAATTCATAGTTGTGTTACAGTCTCATGACTATACACATCCCAATAACACAACCTTGAGATACTGCCCCAAAAAATGTATCCCATCTTACACCAGCCAAAACCATGATATCTTCAAATTTCCCAAAGGTTAGTGAACAGTAGACAAACAGGGTAAGACTGGCAAAACATTCCTAACACAGCCAGGCTAACGTAACCAGTGTTTCAGTATGATTACTTGTATATTACCTCACCAGGAAGGAAGCAGTTCAACCGAGATAGATATGACCAAACAGGTAGAGTCATACAACATTCTCAGTCGTGAAGCCAAATTTCACAAGTATAGAGCAAAATTAAAAACACAGCAGTATCGTGAGCCCAACTTTTGACGCCAAGGGAAACTATGACAACGTAGCTCTAGTCCCTAATGGACTTCTCGAAATCTAACATAACACGTATACACCAGGATACACTAACTGGACATGCGAACTTTCTGATTACTAGTAACAATACTGCCTCGACAAAAAATCCAAACACAATTCTTCACCGAATTTGCCCAAATGAGTGATTCGCATTATGACGATGATGCAAAGTACATTAAACACTTTGGGATACTTACCACTAACTGCTAACTCAGTGTTGTGTGAATACTTATTTATTTATTTATTTAAACGCATAAAAAACTTGGTACAATATGGCACCAAGAAAGATGCGCCACACAATAATAATAAAACAACATAGATCAAAAAAAAAAAGGAAGGAAGGAAAAGAAATATATATATATATATATAAGTACAGAACGGAAAAAGAACTTCATCTGGAAGGAGAACACTCATGCTTAACAAGTTCAAACAGTGTTCGTTAACTATCATCGGGAAGCGAAGAAAGAAGGAAATCGCAACACATTCGCCATTGATTACGATTCTTGACCATATCCGATAACGTTTCCAGCCATCGATTCGAGCTACCTCTCGGACCCCAACCAGGGAGTCGTGACACACTAACCGATGCTAATCTAGCACAAATATCCTTCATCTCACGACGCCACGTCATGGACTGACCACCCGTCCGCCTTTTCCATGCCGTCCCAAGGCTGGCTAGCGAACAGAGACCTGTACGGAAGCCTCTGGGATGACATTCCCAGTACATGTTTAAGCCACCACCGGAGTCGGTGTTTCCAGATGACGACACTCAATCAATGGTGATCTCCATTGTTTTACGGGTTGATCACGGATTGATATCAGTTAGAGAACCATTGAAAACCAGGGAGTACTGGACAGCTGCTGTTTCATCCTAGTTTGGGAATCATCGGCAGTACGCACCCACTGTTTAAACGTGTTTAAACACGCCGCCGAACACCAGAATTACTCACGCGATGATGTCATCGAACGCAAGCAATCCTGTGGAGACACCGATGATGGAACACCCAGAGTCGCCGCACGTTCTTAGCTTGGAGAGACCAGGTTTCACAGGCGTAGAGCAGGTCAGCCCGCACCGAAGCATTGTATACCCGACCTTTGACAGCCAGGCTAACGTCGCGACGGCGCCAGAGGTGGCTCAAGTTGATGTATACCACCCTAGCCTTCATTATACGGTTGGAAATCTCATCCGTCACCCCTCCGCCATCACTCACACAACTACCCAGGTACACAAACTTATCAACAACTTCAAGTGGTTCACCCAAAAGAGTGAGTGCAGGTACAGGCTCCTGCCAATCTTGTGTGAATACTTAAGGCAGAAATGAACTTATTAACTCTGACAGGTAACCGGAATATTTGCAAAATAGTATACTCCTTGAAATATTTATTCTTAGCTGACGAACAATGGAAACAATGTATTATAGGCTACTTTCTACAATGCAAAAACGTCAAAACTTTCTCCTCACCCTATTTCACATATTAGAGGGGAGGAAACCTAACAAGTCTGTAAAACTTATCTAATTAAATCAAGCCCAACAATGTAAAACTTCATATCAAAAATTGGTTTTAAAAATAAACAATTAAGTGTGACAGGGGTAACAAGTATGAAAAATTAAACACTCACTTCAGTAGCATTTGAAAGATCGATTTTCGCTGCCTCTGCTGACTCTTTCAAACGCTGCAGTGCGATAACATTTTCGGTTGCATCAAATCCATACTAACTACTTTCTATTAGCATTAATACACTAACCTTATCCTTGATATATGAGACAAAAAATTGAAGGATTCTGTTATCAAAGTCTTCACCACCAAGAAATGTATCTCCATTTGTTGATATAACTTCAAAAACACCCTTTTCAATTTCAAGGATTGATACATCGAAAGTACCACCTCCTAAGTCATAAGTAGCTACACTAGTGATAAACAACCTTCTAATCCATACTCACATCTTACATTTTATCATTTGATTTGTCTAAACCGTAGGCAAGTGCGGCAGCAGTAGGTTCATTGATAATACGTAGAACATCTAGACCAATCATCTTTCCAGCTGCTTTAGTTGCCTAGAGAATCATATTAACTCACTGGAAATAACTGAATACCTGTCTCTGAGAATCGTTGAAATATGCAGGTACTGTGATAACGCATTTACTTACATCGGTTTTCAAATAGTTTTCTAATGTGGTACAGAATAAGAGCAAAATGAAACATGCCTGCGATTTCTTTCATTCGTTTCAAAATTAACGACGCCACATCAGTAGGTGAATACACTTTGCTATTTGCACACATAGAGGCTTCTTCGTTCTTCCCCATAACCACGGTGAATGCGAAATTGCTCAACTCCCTTTGAACATCTGGATCTGTAAACCGCCGACCAATTAGACGCTTAGTAGCATAAAATGTGTTTTGAGGATTGCTAATACGTTGTCGCCGTGCTGGATGACCAACAAGAATATCTCCGGAATCAGTGATAGCAACTACTGAAGGTGTTGTTCGATTTCCTTCCGAATCTTCTATAACTCGAGGACTCTGACCTTCCATTATCGACACGCAAGAGTTTGTAGTGCCAAGGTCAATACCAATAACATGTGATCTACGGATTGGTAATTTCCTAATCTTCTTTTAGAAGATATGACGAAATGGAAAATAGCTACTACCTCAACTACTCTGGCGAGACGGAGAGACGAAAACATTTTGAACTGTGCACTTAACCCAAGGTAAAGTTAATCAACAACCCCTAAAAGTAGTGCAATAAAAGATTCCCCATTTGGAAGTCCTCGAATCTGTTCACTTTCAGTGTTTTCGGATGGCTCATAAACACTATATATTTGCTCCCAAAAACTTGTATTCCACATAAAATACACAACGTCCAACTACATTCATATGAACTTGTATAGAATAAGTGGTTTTATTTACCCAATATCCTATATCTCAATTGACGAGCTTGTGCAAAGCTTAACTTCCTTTCTTGACCTTTAGCGGAATCCAGTATAATTTATCTCTCTGACTGCTACAGCTTTGCGCAATACAAGGGGTTACATTCGGTTATCAATGCTGAAAATTACATTCTGTATCACAAGTACTGTTTTTGGAATAAAGTAAATCATTATTATTATTATTCTGGTAGAAATGTATTTATATTAAGAGAGCTGAGCAGCCAAGGAGTTCAGGTTCACTGTCTCTGAGAAATTGTAAATCTATGGTGTCAGTGGACCGGAAGAATCACGAAACAAATAATTCAAACATATGAACAGCTATCAAAATACTTGATTAGCCCTATCAGTCTCCACAGTTATGTACGTAATACGTAGCAGCGATTGTTACTAACTTCACTTATTTATTTTATTTTTCATTCTTGATTACAGCTCAGTTTCACACTGTATTTTGGCACAAGTATGGAATTCCTACGTACTTTGGTCGACATCTGGCAACATCAACATTGGAGAACTAGTATTGGAACAGTCTTCTAGCAATACCTCTGGAGTCTATTACGTTAATTGTGGATTTTGGACCTTGTAAATACCCAAGTAACAAAACTTTAATATATTCTTAAAGTAACTTAACTGATTTGGTATTTTATTTTCTATTTGAATTTGGGATACTAAGCTAACAGAGTCTAAGGTCCACCACAAAGTGTCTAAAGCCTGGTATGTGTGCTTTGTTGAATTTCTGTTAAACGTTTATTAAATTACTAACTGCGCACATCCAGTGTACTGGAAAGGGTAATTTTTCTAGCGTGGATTTCGTGGAAATGAAAAATATGCACAACTTAACGAAAAGTAAGTGCCACTTGCCCGGTCGTTTTCGCCTCATTAACTCTTTTAGAGAGAATGTCTATTTTCGTGAACTGGTTCGTACCCTCAATTATTGTGCCACAGATGGCATTGAAGAGGGAACTAAATTGAACGGTTAATATCTGTCATCTGACCTTCCTGGGAATAACAATATCAGATGTCCAGGTCCGACTAAACTGGACTTCACGCTTAGAAGACTTTCAGCAACTATGCCTAGTGCGTCGGTGGCACAGTGGTTAGGACTCTCGCCGACCATGCACATGGTCCGAGGTTCGAGCCCACACCGGCGCATACCTGATATCTATGGTCGGCCTGCAAAATTTGGGCTACCGATATCCATGCTGAAAATTCCATACTTGTACCAAAAATACAGTGTGGAATCAAGCTGTAAATAAAAAAAAATAACCAACGCGAGAAACCAGAACACAGATCACAATAATATCTCTGAGAGTTTTTCGATATCTTCCAACGAACAGCGAATGATGGAACGATGAGTGCAGTATCGATGACTCCCGCGAAAAATATGGATTTGGTTTTGAGCAAACAACCAATCTTCAGCTACATTGAAACTCCTCGGCCAAAATATAATCCATCCCTTCTTTCCACGACGACCAATACACGTTGACTGGGATGCCAGTGCGAGAATCTGGGTCACACGGACAAAGCTGAAATTGGAAAACAAACAGAAAAGCCAACACACCACAGGCATACCCACAGCACAATCTCACTCGTCGACGATGACCTAGGCCTTCCAGTTAAAGGCATCCTCTTGACATCCTGAAACACAATCGGCACTTGCTAGAATCACTGTTGCAGAAAGCAACGTGACCATAGCAGCAACTCATGATACTCTCCGCACACCCTCTTATCTATTCACTACCAATTACCACTGCGATCGCTTGTCACTCATTCTGCCTCAGTCTTAGTAACTGTGATGTATGCAAGCCTCAGTCGTCTACACACTTGCTCCCCGGCGTGTGCGACCACAGCCTAAGTAGAAACATTCATTCCCAATCATTGATTCCACGGCCAATGCCAAACTCCGTGTGCAGGTTATTCTCAACACTAGCCTCTGCAGCGTATATGACCCATCTGCTGTCTTTAGCATCAATCAATTCATTCATGGATGTAGAAGACTCGAAACAACTTCAGATGTAATCACGACGAAAAGTTTAACAAAATTACGCAATAACAACAAGGTACGAAGACAACAAGTAAACATAGTGAATCCGAAAATACCAACTGATATGACACACCTCACATATATACAAACAGTACACATAACCTAGCAGATCATGTCTTGATGTAATTCCTTTGAAGAATTGCAGGACTTACAACAGTACGGCTGCAGCCCTTCTCAGGCGGACAATTGTAAGTTGTGGAATGTCCGGACACAAACAAGATTAACCAACAATAGATGAGAGATGATACTAAATCTATATATGCTACATGAACATATGTACAAAACAACACACTAAGTACGATGGACCGAGCACCGACGTACCTATATTATTACAATATTATTGTTCCCTTTGGTTCCTAGTGGAACATAGGGCTTCAACTGCACGTCTCCACTTGCTTCTGTCTTCTGCTGTACTTTTCACCTGCATCCATGTTATTCCATACTGTTTCAACTCCTCTTCACACGATCTCCTCCATGTCACCTCACCGACGTGCTGCCCTTGAAGAATTGTAGGACTTACAGCAGTACGCCTAGAAGCCTTCTCAGGTTGACTCCCTCAAGTAAGAAAACCTTCGCAGAGTTCATTTGCTGACCTCCTTCTATCATCTATATCCTCAACTCTGAGTGGTAACACGCCCATGTCATTGTATCGTGGAATGTAGATGACTAACAAACATACGACGTATCTGACCAATTAAGCGTAGGCACATAGCAATTTACACCAAAGATCATAACGTTCAAATAGTAACTTGAAACTTGAAAGGTTTTTATTCGTGCAAGTCAGTTTAACATTTACAATCTCAAACAGCGTTGGCTTATTCTCACAAAAATGACCATTGACTTTCGTTCTTTCAAACGGAACTATACTAGCATAGTCACGGCATAAGATATATGAGTTCATGCACGTCCCTTTCATTGTGGATGACAACACCAACGACGACTGACTGATACCAGTTGATAAACTTAGCGGTGCATCAGAAGTTGTCACTGTTTGACCTTTAAAATATATTTCTTCCTGTTTATGCAGGAACATACCAATTGTATAGGCATGGATAAGTTATTATATAAATTACACATAATTTGATGTATGATGAACTTACAGTTTGGTTGTTCTCTCTGACATTAGAGTCAGTCGGAACAGTCTGCTATAAAGTCTGTTTGTGTAGCACATAAAGAGATATGGAAATATTGTCTTCGCATTAACAAAAAACCCAGACATCAGATGAATGTAATACAGATATCTGGGAAAAATAAAGCCTGAAGTCAATTCTCCTATATAACTTTGTTGTGAAGAGCACCCTTGGCTTAAAGTTTATTGGTGTATTATGTTGAGATAAGTAATATATTTATTCCATTTTTCAGCAGTCTTATCGTAGTTTTATAACAGGAAAGAAATTTGATCGTGGATGCGAAAACTAGATAAGGTCATTGTCAATCACGTCTCATAAACCGTTAATGCCCAGCTCTCGCTACGCTCGGACCCACGCTGTTCCTTGAAGATTTCAGAAACGCTTAGTTATAACGGACGAAAAAACCAAAACACCGATCTGCCGCTTGATATTTCTTTATTGTTACACCAACATATAAAAAGAATAAGTGGACTAAGGTCTGAAAACAAATATTACAATAATAAATCATTGTATTACTTCTGACGATGTTTCACTCTTCTTTCTGAACAGCGACCGATGAGACGATGACTGTCGTATTGATGCCTCCGCGAAAATTGGGGAAGTTGATTTTGAGCAAACAACCAAGAATTGATCGTTCAATCTTCAACTACATTGACACTCCCCGGCAAAAAGGGGATCCAACCCCTTTTTTCCTTCACGACCAATACACGTTGACTTGGATGCCATTGCGAGAACCTGAGTCACACGGACAGAGCTGAAATGGAAAACAAACAGAAAAGCCAACACACCACAATCATACCCACAGCACAATCTCACACATCGCTGACGACCTGCGCCTCCAGAGAGAGACCTCCTCTTGACATCTTGCAACACAATCGCCATTTGCTGGAATGACTCTTGCAGAATGCAAAGTGACCATGGCAGCACCTCACGATACTCTACGCACATCCTCTTATCTACTCATTACCGATTACCATTGAAATCGCTTGTCACTCATTCTGCCTCAGTTCTAGTAACGGTGATGTATGCGAGCCTCAGCCGTTTACACTCTTTCTCCCCGACGTGTCGGACTGCAGCTAACAATTATCTCCGTGTGCATTTCATTCTCAGCAATGGCCTCCCCGGCGTATACGACCCATCTGCTGTCTGTAACATCAATCAATTCATTCATGGATGTAGAAGACTCGAAACAACTTCAGAAGTAATCACGACGAAAAGTTTAACAAAATTACGCAATAACAACAAGGTACGAAGACAACAAGTAAACATAGTGAATCCGAAAATACCAACTGATATGACACACCTCACATATATACAAACAGTACACATAACCTAGCAGATCATGTCTTGATGTAATTCCTTTGAAGAATTGCAGGACTTACAACAGTACGGCTGCAGCCCTTCTCAGGCGGACAATTGTAAGTTGTGGAATGTCCGGACACAAACAAGATTAACCAACAATAGATGAGAGATGATACTAAATCTATATATGCTACATGAACATATGTACAAAACAACACACTAAGTACGATGGACCGAGCACCGACGTACCTATATTATTACAATATTATTGTTCCCTTTGGTTCCTAGTGGAACATAGGGCTTCAACTGCACGTCTCCACTTGCTTCTGTCTTCTGCTGTACTTTTCACCTGCATCCATGTTATTCCATACTGTTTCAACTCCTCTTCACACGATCTCCTCCATGTCACCTCACCGACGTGCTGCCCTTGAAGAATTGTAGGACTTACAGCAGTACGCCTAGAAGCCTTCTCAGGTTGACTCCCTCAAGTAAGAAAACCTTCGCAGAGTTCATTTGCTGACCTCCTTCTATCATCTATATCCTCAACTCTGAGTGGTAACACGCCCATGTCATTGTATCGTGGAATGTAGATGACTAACAAACATACGACGTATCTGACCAATTAAGCGTAGGCACATAGCAATTTACACCAAAGATCATAACGTTCAAATAGTAACTTGAAACTTGAAAGGTTTTTATTCGTGCAAGTCAGTTTAACATTTACAATCTCAAACAGCGTTGGCTTATTCTCACAAAAATGACCATTGACTTTCGTTCTTTCAAACGGAACTATACTAGCATAGTCACGGCATAAGATATATGAGTTCATGCACGTCCCTTTCATTGTGGATGACAACACCAACGACGACTGACTGATACCAGTTGATAAACTTAGCGGTGCATCAGAAGTTGTCACTGTTTGACCTTTAAAATATATTTCTTCCTGTTTATGCAGGAACATACCAATTGTATAGGCATGGATAAGTTATTATATAAATTACACATAATTTGATGTATGATGAATTTACAGTTTGGTTGTTCTCTCTGACATTAGAGTCAGTCGGAACAGTCTGCTATAAAGTCTGTTTGTGTAGCACATAAAGAGATATGGAAATATTGTCTTCGCATTAACAAAAAACCCAGACATCAGATGAATGTAATACAGATATCTGGGAAAAATAAAGCCTGAAGTCAATTCTCCTATATAACTTTGTTGTGAAGAGCACCCTTGGCTTAAAGTTTATTGGTGTATTATGTTGAGATAAGTAATATATTTATTCCATTTTTCAGCAGTCTTATCGTAGTTTTATAACAGGAAAGAAATTTGATCGTGGATGCGAAAACTAGATAAGGTCATTGTCAATCACGTCTCATAAACCGTTAATGCCCAGCTCTCGCTACGCTCGGACCCACGCTGTTCCTTGAAGATTTCAGAAACGCTTAGTTATAACGGACGAAAAAACCAAAACACCGATCTGCCGCTTGATATTTCTTTATTGTTACACCAACATATAAAAAGAATAAGTGGACTAAGGTCTGAAAACAAATATTACAATAATAAATCATTGTATTACTTCTGACGATGTTTCACTCTTCTTTCTGAACAGCGACCGATGAGACGATGACTGTCGTATTGATGCCTCCGCGAAAATTGGGGAAGTTGATTTTGAGCAAACAACCAAGAATTGATCGTTCAATCTTCAACTGCATTGACAGTCATTTTTGGGTTGTTTTGCTGCATCAAGTGGTTCCGATGTCGTTTCCAGAATTCTCCATTTGCTTCGTTCTTGTCTGCATGGGGGATTGTATTCGTAAGTTTAGAAGGATATCTATCAGCAAGGTTACCACCATTGTTGTCTTTTATGATTAGCTACTCTTCAGCCTTAACATCTGTCGATGGGTGGGCTACACTGATGGTCTCATGAGTATCCATACCTTCTACCATCGCATCTCCGTTTAATTCTACTTCATTTTCGAGTTGTACAGAACCTTTGCTCAACTCAGTAGTAGTAGGGATTCCGTTCATCTCATCATGGTCAGCCAAAGATAAACGTGCTCTATCAGGACCATTGTCACAAATAACCACTTTACCGCAGTTTGTATGATCAACTTCATCATTTTCAAACTTTTTAATGACAACAGGAGATGATTTTGGTTCCTCCTCACAAATCCTTAGAGGTTCTGTACCTTTACTCTGACTAGTGATACTTTGTAAACTTGTGGAGTTAGAACTAGACTCTGAAACTGTAACTCTCTTCTTCTGCACAAGCTGCAGTGTCGTCTGTGACACTCTATTCAACAATGGCTTACCACTAAACTTGTTCACCGCTTCACAGTTCGCTTTTGTATGCACTTTTTGCAAGCACAACCGTGTTTGTCGTGCAGCTTGTAACCTATCTGTTGGGGACATCCCACGAAAGCTGTCACACATATTAGATTTGCATGGATTACTAGACACCATACACCTTTCTCGATATCCACTTCTCTGTGACCCTTTCTTCATAAACGGTTGCGTTTCGCTCTCTGGCTTCTCTATTCCAGGAGTGAGATGCAATATACTGGCAAGCTTGCTCATAGCTTGATTGAAACTATCTTTTACCAGTTTCAGAATATAATCGAACTTTGGCTCAATACCTTCATCCTCTGTACGAGAACTTATCTTCACTCACTTCCTTTGCAGTCGAGTAGGTAGGCGTCTCGCTACTACCTCTAGGACGGAACTTGAGTTCAGATCGCTCATGCAATTAATCGAAATCAACGTGTTCTTGTAAGTCATCAGATTATCCAAAAACTCAGAGAGAGCCTTGGAGTCATCTTGTAATTGACTACCGTTACCTTTAACAGCCTCGAATAATATCCCTACAATCATCGAAGGTCTTCCAAGCTTTTGACGCGAGATATGCATCGCCTCAGTATATCCTTCGTTTGGGGACATAACCTTACAGCACTGGATAGCTCTTGAAGCAACTCCAGTGCACTACCTCACCAAATACATTAACTTCATTTCATCATTTAATAAAAACCACTCAACATGATCTCAAACTCCTGTACAAACTGTGAATAGTCAGCTGGGTTTCCATCGAAACACCGAGGCACAAATTTAGGAATTTTACAACTTATATTATCACTAGAAGTCGAAACATAGACATCAATCTTATCATGCTTAGCATCATACACATCTTTACATATAAAAGGCAACTCATAATTACTTATTTTCCTGTCTGCTTTCAAAACGCTTTGTCCCTTCTTTGACCCATGCATAATTGAACTTGACCAAATGATTCAGAGAAGCTCCAGATAACACATGTCCAAAAAAAGACTTGGAGGCGCGAGGAAAGACGAATATCGAACAAATGCGACGAATAATTCCAGGAGTTTATCAGAAACTGTCAAATGTCCATGTCTAACTAAACTGGACTTCACGCTGTCCTTAGAAGACTTTCAATAACTGTGTCCAATATCCAACGCGAATAACCAGAACACAGATTGATAACTCAAGAATCCTTCATTCTTGCACCAATATACAACCAAGCGTAAGGTTATTGTACACAAAGTCTAAGAATAGATGTCATAACAATAAATCACATTAATACTTCTGATAGTTTTTCTACGTCTTCCAACGAACAGCGAACGATGGAACGATGAGTGCAGTATCGATGACTCCCGCGAAAAATATGGAGTTGGTTTTGAGCAAACAACCATGAAATGATCGTTTAATCTTCAACTACATTGACACACTATATAATCTAAATTTTTAGAAGAATATTTCGTCTAACAGCCTATGAGGGGAGTTTTAGGCATTCTGTTATCACCCAATCTCTGCGGTTTATATATCTTGTATCTTGACTGAATCGTTCTTCGGATTCTTCCGAATGACTTTGTTGCATTGCCAAGGGCACTAAAAGCTGTTAGAATAGTGAGTGGATTATTGGTAAACCGTCTTGTCAGTACTATTGTAGATAGGCACTTGAACTCATGCAAAAAATATCGAATTGTATCGCGTCGGAATCCAATGATCTTCTCAATACACAACTATCATAACGTCTTATCATGTAAGATTAGAAGCAGCCATGAAAGACTTTCGCTTTGGAAATTTAAGTATAAATCCGTAGTACCATATTTGGCACGCACTTTGTTATGAGGAAAAGTGAGCATGGAATTATTGTCTTATTGCCTGACACTAAGTAAACGGCCCTATTATTCCTCTCTTCATTAATGTTAGCATTTCTACTTAAATTTTTATCTTACATTCATACTCTTATTGACATTATCAAAGTAAAATTCCCCTTACTGTTTCCCCTCTTACTACATTATGTAAGAAGAAACTTAAGATTCATTGTTGTATCACATACTGGAAATTCCAAATTTAATTAAAAGCGCTCTTTGTAACAAAGCTAATGTCACAATTATTTATTATTCTGAGGTTATTTCGTTAAAACACTTTAGAGTCTACAACTTGCAGACTACCAAGTTTTATTGTTGGTTGGTCAGTATAATACATTTGGAAAATAATTACTAGATAGACTTGTACTTTTAATGTTGTCTCACCCTATTGCTGAAACTCGTGATACTATGCACGGATGCGAATTAATGTAAGAACTAGTCTCCCTTGTTACTTTGTCTTAAACTGGGTGAAAAATCTCGTTTAACCAGGTAAAAACAGTTCTGTATTTCTAAAGGTGTAGAAATCGTCAAAATCTCAGCTCACTGTCTCCAATAAATGTTGACCGAGAGAAATTTATTATTTAGGATTGGACTTCGAATGCGCTATTTCGACGTTTACGTTACTTTACAATGAATTTAGAACTTCTTGGTGATTATTATATTTTGTAACTTATCTTTACTTATTTTGCAGAAGCATTTCATCAAAATTATCCTGAGGTAAGATTAGTGGATAATATTGACTTTCCAGGCTGCAGACGGGTACTTGGAGCGAATAAAAAAAGATGATGGGAGCAAAGATGCTGGGTGTGCTACTTATGCTATAACACTACAGTTTAATCGTATTGGAAGCCTTCTTGCTATTGGCTGTAATGATGGAAGGATAGAAATATGGGATCATGTTACTAGACGAATATCAAAAATACTGGTGGCTCACTCACACCCAGTTTGTTCCTTAAGGTATTTCAATAGTTTTTTTATTCATTCCTCTTTGTTAGTTGGAGTCGAGACAGCAGAAAACTCCTCAGTGCATCAACTGACAATACAGTCTCTATATGGGATGTATTATCCAGTGCTTGTGAGCAGACATTTCAGTTCCCCTGTCCTGTAATGAAAGTTCAGTTCAATGCGAGAAAACGCGAACAGTTTCTTGTTTGTCCTATGCGACATGCTCCAGTTGTCATCACTGTTCCTAGTGGTGTTCCAACCATTATACAACCAGAAGATGAGGTGAGAATACTATAAGTTTTTTTTATTTTAAAGCAGTGTATAAATGTTGTAATATTCTCGAACTAAATTAAATTCCCGAGACTTAAAGTACTTATGATTTATCTTTATCCATAGTGTACAGTAATACTCGCCTGTTGAATGCTTTTCGTAAGCATGCTTATCTGCTTTTATTAGTTCTCATTCCATGACAACCTTGTTTTCGTGCTTAACGTGGTTGTTTTGTTATGTTTTGTGGTGCATTTCTCAGCGTCCTTAGAAAATAAAAGGATGTTGGCGGGCATATAAAATACTAAGATGTAATGGTATGTATATATACTATCCCAACTCGAAATGTACCTATTAGATGCTACTAGAGAACAGTTACAAGGCTGAAATATAACGACTTCATGATCGTTCAAAATGCGAAATATATTTTGGGAACAGTGAAGTTGGGTTAAACTAACCGAAGACCAAATGCCTACCTTTGTCTTGACCATGTGAGTCAGCAGCCGGTGTCGAATAGTGGTAGCTCTAGGTCAGTTATTTTATGGAGTCATTTGTCGTTACAAGCTCATACTACACAACATTTTTGTTAAAAGTGTACTTTCAGCTCACGATTCATGGGAAGAAAGTCAACTAATTAAACCCGTTAATGGTCTTAATAAAGCAAAGCTTTATTCGAATTCATAAAAAGCGTTAATGATCTGTTAGTATATTTGTAGGATACGATCATGGAGGCTTATAAGACTGATTGTCGTGTACTGATGGAGGTATATGGTCAGTCACCACTTCTTGAATTCACTTACTGTGGAAATTGATGTCTTCTTGGAGTTACTAAAACGTGGAAAAAAAGACTAATTTGATAAGAAAACAGAGCTCAGAAAATCAGTGCTTGATTCTTATTTAACTGGAATTATCTGGTGTTAGTGTTATTGTCATCTGCATAAAAATTCTTTACTCTAAACACAAATATTCAAGGGATCAGCTGTGTTGTACTGCTCTTTCGGGTTGACTTCTAACTTCTATGAACACAAAGGCAGGTTAACATTAGTTGGCTAGTTGTCCCAGAGAAACGCCTTACTGCCGCTTCTTTCGTTTTTTCTTGACGTGAGATTTTCCCGTCAATCTCCCACTACAGTTTAAACGTGTGACGGTGGCTATTTTTAATACTACTGCTGTCCAACTGTCTGTCTGTCTGTTTTCGACATAGAACTTTGCACAAATGTGCGGAAGTTCAAGTCGCCACACTCCACTCCATTTAGCACACAAAACAAGAGAAGAAAGTACAAGAAAAGCATAATAGAAACAGTAAGCAGAGGTGTGAGACAAAGGAGTAATAAAGAAAAACAAAGCAGTTTCATTGGTGGAGATCATAAGTCACAGGGAGTGGATGCATCTGCGCCATCACTGAGAACGATTTTGAGCCATATCACCAATTGTTTCCAACCATAGGTTTTTTCCGTCCCGAGGACCCCAGCCTGGAAGTCTACATCTTTCTACGTGGCTTAGACCAACTGTTGTGGATTTCATTGACTGGCGAGGCCAAGTTTTTGTTTGACCGCCGCTAGCTTTTTTCCAGTCTGACCCTATATCCGCTAACATTGCTCATTGTCGAGGGAGGCGATGGCTTGGGATACGTAACACATGTCCTAACCATCTCAGTCTTTGTAATTTCACGACTTCGTCGATTGATTTCTCCTGTTTACCTAGAACTCGACGCCTAACCTCAATGTTGCTCACCTTATTATGCCACTTTACACGGGAAATAGAACGCAGGCACCTATGATCAAAGACAGCTAACCGGCCTCTTCATGTCTTCCACTCTCAGTGGCCAGGTCTCACAGCCAGCCATAAAGGAGGACGGAGCGGACTGATGAGCAGTACACCCGCTGTCCAACTAGTATTCATATCATAATAGGACATAAAGAATATTCGTTCCCTCAAAAATAGGTCTTTGAGTTGCTCCAACATGCATTCTTGATTATGATGTCAATGCAGAACTTAATGATAGAGGTTTTTTAAGAATTGAGGTAATTGTGGTATGTGTTTTTACAGTCAGACTTCTCAATTCCATGTTAGCAGCTATGCATACAAGTTCGTTAGTGCAGCGTTATATATGTATATATCTTCCAGTGATTAAAGGTTAATCAGAATATATCCACAATTTTATTAATACTTCATGTGACTGTATCTAATGGAGTGTAACTCGGTTAATATTTTAGAATGACTTCAGTGTCGTTGCATCATATGATCGCCGTGGTCGGTATATATATACTGGGAATTCCAAAGGCAAAGTAAGATTAATGTATTAATATTCATTTTAGCATTTTTTTTATAACCTTTTATTATTGTTGTCATTAACATAATTAGTGTAGATGTCGAAATGTCATGCTTTTTAATCGATAAAAGTGTAGGAAAAAAATAAGACTAGTAATAAGTCCAATATTTGTCTTTTTCAATAAGCTATCTTTGATTTGGCGTTGGTTAAGGTAAAAAGAAGGATTTATCATGTATCGTTGTTCATCTTTGATACATACTAAGGCTTAAAAACTTATAAAGGCTATTAAATGTGTTTCATTTAAATGACCTGGTACGACCAGAGGTAGGTAGACTTTAATCTTCCTCTCGAAATGCTCCGATGTGACCATGCGTTCATAAGCGCTTCGGCAAAGTTTAACAATAGCGTCTAAAGAAATGAGAATGCACGAGTGACCTAGAGTCAGCCAACCAACCATAAAATTAAGTGACTTTTGCACAAAAAAGACATTTAAAAGAAAATGTACGGAAGCACTAAACAGGGTACCTTTCTCTGACATCAGTTAGAAATACGTCTCAGTTATAGTAAGAAGTATCAGTTGCTAAGTTGGACTAGTTTCTGCACATGTGTATTCACCGAGGTGACTTAAGGTGAGCTTTTTTGTGGTGCGTCTATCGCTCCTATCCTGTTTTGCAGTCTTCCCCAAAGGCCCTCGGTTGAATTGCTATTGTTTCCAGTAAGAAAATCGAGGACTACTTACTGGAAAAATGTGGGTGATAAAATAAATTAAAATAAATGACATAAATTATAAATCTATCCCTAATCGTAACCATAACCTTGGTCCTAAATATGACCCTTATCCCATCCGTAAACCTAACCCCAATCGTAATTACACCCCTAATCCTAATTCTAACTCTTACGACCTGTTAACACATTGTCCAAACACTACTTCAAAATGTGATCTGGGTGTAATTTGCTCCTTAGTTGTGAAAAGCGTTCACATTTGCGATATAGTAATAATAGGTGTCCTTTGCCAACGACTAGCATGCATTCAAGGTCGTTGGAGCGTTCGCAGCCCTTGGGACGCTATTGTCTAACTTCGCCACCTCTTCAAGGTAAATCCCCTTCACTGCCTTCACGCGACAGAGTTGTTCTTCACAAAAGTGAAAGGTTGCGTGTGTGAACGTCTGGCGCCTACAGCTGGACTGGTGGACATGCAGTTCTACCTTGGGGAGGCTGAAAAGCCATGATCCTCAACATGTAGTGTGCATTTTTTCTATTCCTTTACGTTCCCAGCAGAACATAGGGCTTCAAGCTAGAGGCTTGAAGTTTCTGTAGCAGTGGTGATTATTTTTACAGGTTGGAGTTGCTAGCCTCATGCCCAACTTTCCCTCTTTACCAGTCTTACTATTGGCTTAACAAGGTGAAGGAGTGCGTCAGCTGGGGATCTAACGCCGGACCTCATGCGTGGTCGGCGAGCACTCTACCTGTGTGCCACCGACGCACATAAGCCGGCAACACCCGGTATTCCCAGCCGGTCACCCATGCAAGTACTAACCGGGCCCAACATTGTTTAACTTCGGTGATCGGACAAGAACCGGTGCTTTCAACGTGTGCATAGGCTCCAGAATCTGAAGAGATTGAATGACGTATGACGAACCTATTTTAGTCAACGGAAACGATGAGGATGTATCTCCTCACGTTGCTCCACTGATTTCTACACTAGACTTCAAGTCAAAGCTTAGGATATGGCTGTCTCAGACAACCACCTTCTTCGGTCTGGTTGTTTGGACTGTATCTCAGACCACTCACAAAATATGAAATTCTGTGGCACTTCTCTTGACACCCATATAATGCACCAAGTTTGTATTTTCATAGGAAATAATTATGTGAATTTTTGCAGATTGATTTACCTGTTTTGTTTTACAAATTTTTTGTAGGTTTGTATATACGACACAACAGATTTTCAGTTGATCAGTTCATTTAAATCGACGTCAGCGGCAAATGCTGCGATTAAATCGATTGAATTCGCTAGACGTGGAGAGTAAGTTGTGATGTATGTCTCTTGTATATCTAAGAAAATCCTTTTTATATTAATTAGTTATATGTATCATTTTTTTATTCCTTCACGTTCTCAGTGGAACATAGGGCTTCGGGCTAAAGACTTGAAGTTTCTGTAGCAGTAGTGTTTATTTTTACACTATGGGGTTGCTAGCTTCATGCCCAACCTTTCCTCTTTACCAGCTTCATTTCTAGCTTAGCGAGGTAAAGGAGTACGTCAGTGGCCGGGGATCGAACCCTGGACCATGTGTATGGTCGGCGGGCGTCCTAACCGCGGTGCCGCCGACGCCACTATATGTATCATAGGTAACATCTTCCAATTACAATTTTATATGTTACAGCTCATTAAGTGTTCATTTGTTATAATTGATTGTACTACCACTAAACATAGTTGAAAATGTAATTCCATATTAATTTGTTTATTAGATGTATCACAGAGTGTGGAACAGTATTATTATGATTTACTGGATGACGACAAAGTTTTGAACATCATAAATTATTGTTCATAATCATTTCATCAATTATAATCACACAACTTCGAAACTTGAGTTTTATAGTTTTCTTTATTCTCTCCAATTTGTCGTCGTAGGGGTAGTAGAATTGCCATGAGGTCACCAATATCCCCGATTGTGGCAGTTATATTCATGGATAAGTGGGAAAACTTAGCGAATGAAAATTTCAGTCCCACCCGAAAAGTATGGTGGAGGTATGAAGATGACACATTCACTGTACTTAAAATTCAGGACATAAATAGATTTTTCGAACAGATCAACTCGAAGGTGGAGGTAATTCAATTCACTTATGAATTGGAAAGTCAGGTAGGGGAACTTCCAATGTTAGGTTGTTGCGTAAAAAAGAAAGAAGATGGGAAGTTAGGCACACTTGTGTGTGTTTACAGGAAACCCACACATTCAAACAGATATTTTGACTTCCGATCTTCCCACCTTATGTCAGTAAAAATACGATTGGTGAAATGTTTCGGTGAGAGAGAGAGAGAGAAAGAGAGAGAAAGAGAGAGAAAGAGCACAAAAACTAAGTAGTACCAAGGAAAATCTAAGCAGGAAGTGATACATATAAGGGAAGCTTTGGAAATGACTAATTAGCCTGATAAATGAATCAGAAAGTATGTAGGGAAATGTAAAAATAAAATAATGATAGTAGTGATAGTGATAATAATAATAATCGTAATATTAATTACAACATGCATGACAAACATGCACAACACCAACAATAGGGAGTTTAAACCATCAGTAGTACTACTATACAAAGAATGAACCTCGGAAACCACCTAACGGCTGAGAATTCTCAGCAATTTAGGCAGGAATAAAAGTGGGTGGCATTCAAACTCACAAACTCAATTAGAAACAAGTTTTGTCGATTAAAGGATCCTACCAGTGGTGCCAACAAAACAATTTAGTTTATCTAATACCCTACTGGAATGATTGTCAGGTCAAATAAATGGGTCAAAAATAGTGGAACAGGTGCAGTCAGACTAGCTTAGCACAAAAACTTAACAGCTAAATCTAGATTAGTCGATTCAAATAAGATAAGAAATCTAGAGAATAGTTCAGCTATAGTACTGACTACATGGGATGCCACACAAGCGTACAATACGATGGGATGGGATAAAGTGACAGATTTAAAATCTAATGTAACAGCTGAGTGGAGTGAGAGATTGATAATGGAAGCTTTGTTTATCGAGTCAACTGCAAACACGTGTATTAAGAATGTTTCAACACCTGTCCCAGATACCTGGAAAATGCTACTACCCCTATGACGATGAATAGAAGAGAATAAAGAAAACTATAAAACGAAAGTTTCTAAGTCGTGTGAGTATAATTGATGATATGATTATGAACAATAAATTTTGCTCGAAACTGCATCATCCGATAAATAATACTGTTTCACACTCTGTGTGACATATCTAATAAACAAATTAATATGGAATTACATACTACCACAGTCCCCAAGTTTTATACATATATTAATAGCTCAAAATGTTCACAAAAAGCTGTACTTTGTCTTTTCGTTACTATTTAAAAACTATAGTGTTTCCTAAGATTACTCATAGTTTTACTTCGACACAGTTACAATTTACTGATGAAATATTTAAAGTTTCCCCCTGTTGTTGGAAAAAATCACCATGATTAAACTAACCTTTATCTTAGATATGATAGAGAAGATTTGTAGCTCAGGCGGATGATTTTGATGTGGTTTTGTTCTCTGAGCTGGATGGTTAGTTTGCGTAGCTTTCATCGCCCTACTGGGTGACATCTTCAGCGCATACTTCAATTTGAAGTGAGCTTTTTAGGTTTCTTCACGAGTTTATTAATCATTCCTCCTGGTGACCTTGGACGTGATCGGTTGTTTATGTGTGTTTTCACACCTTGCAGGTTACTTGTGTTGGAACTGATTGTTTCTGTGACTTGAACTTGGACCCTTTGTGTGTGAAGTTTCTTTCTTATCGGTTGATAAATTTTGTCTATCTCGATGTGTCTACTGATTGATGATTCACTAGAATGCCAAGCTTCTAAAAATTCTCTGGCATTCTTTTTGTTTCCTCTGTCTAATATTTGAACGTTGGTTGTCCCAGTCGAATTGATGTCCGTGGTTGTCTGTATATAGTGATATGTGTGAGGGAGTGGATATCATATCTTTTGACGGCTAGCTTATGTTCGTGGATACGAAGACGAAGGGGACGTCCACTTTGACCAATGTAGTTTTTTTCACAGTTGTTACAATTTATTTTGTAGATGATGTTGGTTTTATCTTCTTTCGCTGTTGAGTCTTTTGGTTGACATAGAATTGAGTGAAGTGACTTTGTTGGTTTGTGTACGACGTCAATTCCCAAAGGTTTGAAGAGTCTTGTAGTGATTTCTGAGATATCCTTTATGTATGGTAAGGCGATTTTCTTTGTGTTCTCCTTGGTGGCTTTTGCTTTGGTAGGTTGGCTTGGAGGTATATGTTTTTTGATGAAATTCCGTGGATATCCATTCTTTTGGAAGACCTCCATGAGATATTTTTCTTCAATTTTCCTTAATGTGAGAGTGCTGCAATGAGTCCTTGCTCTCTTGAATAGTGTTTGTATGCAGTTCCTTTTGTGTGTTATTGGGTTGTTGCTTTTGTAATTTAGGATTTGGTCTTGTGTGAGTTGATTTCCTATAAACTTGAGTTTCTAACTCCCCTGTGGTTGTTCGCTTGAGTAAGACGTCCAAAAATGGTATTTTGTCCTCGGATTCCTCTTCTCTTGTGAATTTGATGTCGTTGAAGACGTTGTTTATTAAGTTGTGAGTTTTATCTAACTCGTTTCTTTTGATTATTACAAATTACATAACCTTTATCTTATTCTATTGTGCATAAGTTGAAATCTTGAGAAGTGTAAGCTGTCTCACCGTGTTTTATTCTACTGTCCTTACAAATAAGAATTATTTTATTTTACATGATAAAAAAAGGAAGGTATTCGTATGATGTCAATCTCACGAGTTCGATTTATGTATAATACAGTTACGTCTGATGTGAGATGGCTGAAGACAAATAATAAGAAGCCCTCCAACTATTAGACATCAACCAAAAGTTCACTGCAATGATAATTCACTTAGCTTGGTCAATGAAATCTACAACAGTTAGTGTAAGTCACGTAGGAAGGTGTAGACTTCCTGTCTGGTTGAGGTCCTCGGGACGGTAAAAAACCAATGGTTGGAAACGATTGGTGATATGGCTCAAAATCCTTCTCATTGGCTCATATGCATCCACTGCTTGTAACCTGATTTCCAATGAAACTGTTTTGTTCTTCGTTACTACTATTCCATTGTCTCACACCTCTGTTTACTGTCTCTATTATGCATTCCTTCTACCTTCTTCTCTTGCTTTGTGTGCTACATGGATTGAAGTATAGCGACTTGGACTTCTGCACATCGGTGCAAAGTTCTGTGTTGAAAACAGAGAGACAGCTTGGTGACTACATTGCAAACCTAGCTGATTCAGTTCAGTTAACAGCCCAACGCAAAGAATTATACACATGACAGCGGTTACTATCAAGTGATCAATCAGTGTAACGTTGCCCCTGTAACTGAAGTTACTAGTTGCAATATAACTGTGTTAAGTATCTCTAATCATTGTAACATTTTCGCGTTTTGTATAGTGGTCACTATCGGTTTTTTACAACACCTTGAGTATAAAGTACCAATTGCTACAACTATAAGTCTGATTGACTGATATTTTACGTTAGTCAAGGTAACCCCGCCTTCCCCTTATGATTTGTCTACAATAATCAATGATTTACAGCAGACCAAGCTGACCATATCAGAGTCTTAACATCATAGCCCGGATAACACTTCCTCACCATCCTCCTTAGACACATCTGGAGTCATACTATCAGCTCCCAGTACTCTATCTCATTTGAGACTAGAGACAGTTCTTACAACTTCAATCACAGTTGGAGGGCTGATGTCGACATCCTACACAGGTAGGTTTGGGATGCTGGACAAATTTAACATGACTGTAGGCCAGTCGAATTTCTCCTAAAAGTTTCCACTCCAACGCTCCAGTCTTTTATCCGTTTCTCTCGGAGATTGTCTCACTTATCATTTATCTTTTACAATAGGGCTGATTAGTTTTCTGGTTTTAGGTACCCACCCACCCTCCATGGCCTTTTCTCCCACCACTGTTCATGGTCATGACGGCGATTTTCGGTCAGCTTACATTTGACCAGCTTTTGCTCTTCTTCAGTGCTCAGTGTCCGTCAAAATCAATCTTCTGGCGTCAAGCAGTATGTATGAAGCAACAAAACTCCATTGGCATTTGCTGCCTGCCAACCTTTGGTTTCATATTATGAAGAGCTGACTAACAGCAACACTTATCTTAAGGAAGTCTGACCTAGAATCCAACTCCAGTTACTCGATTATCTATTAATTCCCTAATTTAAAGACTGTCTGTTTTCGACATAGAACTTTGTACCGATGTACAGCAGTTCAAGTCGCCACACTCCATGTAACATAAGAAAGTAGAAGAAATGCATAATAGAGACCATAAACAGAGGTGTGAGACAAAGGAATAGTAATGACGAAGAAAAATATAGTTTCATTGGAAATCATAAGTCACAAGGAGTGGATGCATATGTGCCATTGAGAAGGATTTTGAGCCATATCACCAATTGTCTCCAAACATTGGTTCTTACCATCCCGAAGACCCCAACCAGGAAGTCTACACCTTCCTACATGGCTTAAACTAACTGTTGTAGATTTCATTGACTGGTGAAGCCATGTTTTTGTTTGACCTCCGCTAGCTTTTTTCCAGCCTGACCCTATATCCGCTAACATTGCTCATTGTCGAGGAAGGCGATGACTAGGCTAGACATGCGTAACATATGTCCTAACCATCTCAGTCGATATAATTTCACAGCCATGTCGATTGGTTTCCCCTCCTTACCTAGCACTCAACCGAAGCCTAACCTCAATATTGCTCACCCGATTATACCACTTCACACGGGAGATCGAATACAGGCACCTATGATCAAAAGACAGCTAGCTAGCCTTTTCATGTCTTTCACTCTCACTGGCCAGGTCTCACAGCTAGCCATAAAGGAGGACGGAGCGAACTTCTGAGCAGTGCACCCGCCCTGTGGTCGATAGCCAGTCGGATATCACGTCTACGCCAAAGACTATATATATTCTCATTAAGTTGGATTGAGTGGGTGGTGAGTATCGTCTTCATTTCCGCCTGTTTCCTATGTCCCTTCAGTCATAGGTTGCATATGCGTACGTGTACAGACAAGAGCGTGATTAGAGTCTACGCATGTGTTCCTTTCAGTTAAAGGATAGATTAGTGCGTGGGCTAAAATTCGAATAATATTTCAAAATAGGTATTAAAGTATTAATTTATTATTCTAAGTGTATTTGTAATTACTGTTTACGCACACATACACAATGTTTTTAAAGCAAAAATCTTGATAACATTTTTCGACGACAGTTACCAAAATTTAAAAAATAATAAACAAACAAACTACTTATCATTCATTGTGTGTAGAAATAAGTAGTCATTACATATAGACACTTATAATATATTGATCCATTTAGCTATGCATAAACTTTTCATAAACATTTTTTAGTAAACATTGAAGTTCGATTTGGGAGAGTGTTTTGATTTCATGAATTATGATATAATCAACACAATATACGCTGATTAGTTGAGTGAAGAGAGTCGGTGGCTCAGCGGTAGAATGAATGCTCGCCTCCAACCACGCTTCATGTGGTCCGAGGTTCGACCCCGCCGGCCGCCGACTCACTCCTTTACCCCTTACTAAGCCAGTAGTAATAAGACTGGTGAATGGCGAAGGTTGACCCGGGCATGCGGCTAGCAATCTCATCCCGTAAAGATAAAATCAACACCACTGCTACCGAAACATTAAGCCTCTAGCTTGAAGCCGTCCTATGTTCCACTGGGAAAGAGTAAAGGAATAAAAAAGTGAGTAAAGAATATTCTTTTCGATAACATTTTCATAGCTTTCTTCGTTGGCAGTAATAAAGAAATTTCGATCAGGTTCCTCAACTGACAGGATCAGACCTAATTTATTCAAAAGATGAACTTAAAGTTGTGTATGATACGTTATAGCGAAAATATTCATTCAGACGTCTATAAAACACAAAATAATTGGGCGAGTGAAGAATCTCCTTTTCGATAACTTCCTCTTATGGCTCTCCAATCTTATGTGCATATATATATATAAGAATATTCTAGAATAGACCTCACTAATAATATTTGGGTTTCTTTAATATTTCCGATTTGTAAAGTCTGTCTGTCTGTCTGGATTCAACATAGAACTTGGCACCGAAGTGCACCAGTTCCAGTTGCCACGTTCCAGATAGCACACAGAGGTAGACAAGAAGATGAGTGAAGAGAATCAATACAGTCTGACAAGTAGAAAAGTGAAACAGAATGGGTAATGGTAGAAAGGAATATGAAAGATTACAGAGACTGAATACATCTGCGCTGGCCATTGACAACGATCACTTTGAGCCATGTCACCTATTGTCTCCAGCCATTGATTCCTAGAGTCCCGAGGCCCCCAACCCGAGAGTCTGCATCTCCCTACCTGACTCAGTTTAACTGTCAAGGATTTCATGGATTGATGAGGCCATGTTTTCGTTTGGCTACCACTGGCTCTTTTCCAACCTGAACCTATATCAGCTAGCAATGGCTGTCGGGGGAGGCGATGGTTAGGCATGCGCACCACGTGACCTAGCCATCTCAATCTATGTACCTGTATAGCCTCGTCGATTTGTAAAGTAAGATCAATGGAATTACACTTCATGAAAGATGCTTAAATTATAATAATAATAATAATATTAGCGAATAGAATATCAACTAAAATTGAGGAAATTTCTATAAAAAAATCATTCGAACCTTGATGGCCAAGGTAAGTAAGAACAATGTCTGAACTAGCTTCTTATTTTGGACACATAAATTAGGCTCCTTAATGTTCTTGATGAGGAACTTAATATTATTAAACGGTCGCTGGGTGAAAATGGTAATCCAGAAAAGTTCATTGATAAGAATATGATTCAAAAATCAGGGGTAGCCTAAGGTACTAACAGTTCTTTAGATTTCTTATCTTATTCGGATCAACTAATCTAGATTTTGCTGTTAGGTTTTTATGTTCGGCTAGTCTGATTGACTGCCCCTGTTCAACACACCAACACTTAAATACCAATGAGATGCTCACTGGCGACTGGCCCTATTCAGGTAGGTAGTTACCTGGGTTCCAGTGGGAAGTCGTGACCAGTAGGGTGCAGCGGGTCGGGTGTGAGGACAAATACTCGCCGAAGACATTGGCTAGCGGTCGCGCTATGTCGTGAATTGGCGGAAGTTAGAATTCAAGGACCATTGGATCAGGTCCCAGTGGCTTAATGGTATACGAGCTCGCCTTGTAACCGGAAGGTCCTGGGTTCGAACACTGGTGGCGGTGGGTGCGTACTGCTGAAGAGTCCCAAACTAGGACGAAACAGCTGTCCAGTACTCCCAGGTTTTCCAATGGTTCCCTAACTAATGTCAGCTCATGATGAAATCCTGAAACCTGTTCTACTAGTTTGACCTATGTATTTGACCTGATAATCACGTCAGACAGGGTATTAGACAAGCTAAATTGTTTTGTTTAATTGGCTCCACAGAATTCTCAAGTTTTGAAGTCGTATGATTATAATTGATTGGTATGATTATGAACAATAAATTTTGTTCGAAACTGTGTCATCCAGTAAATAATACTGTTTCACTGTGTGATTCATCTAATAAACAAACTAATATAGAATTACTTACTACCATAGTGCCCAAGTTTTACACATATATTAGTATGCCCATAGGCTCCTATTCGCTCTTCATACATTGTCTTCCGTATCACCCTTAGACGCCCAACTTTTTATTTCCCATTCAGGTTCCATTTTGGAGAGCCTAGAGTGTGATGTCATTCGACAGCCTCTTCAGTATATCTCTACTCCATCTCCAGTTTCTCTCTTACATATTTGTTGGCTGATGACAGACTCCTGATTGGTTCGTTCCCAGAGTTTTTTTTGTGTTGCTAATTTTTTCTGACCGGCCATCTGTGTTCTTCACTAACACGGAGCCAGTGAAGTTAGCAGTTGATAAAAGACTTCTGTGGTCTTTCGGATATGCTTTTCGTGACGCGCAGTGCAAGTTTCTAACTCCTATTGAAGAATCGCCCTAACACTCGTGTTGAAGTTAACCAAATCTTGTTGTTTATTCCGAGTGCAACTGATTTCAGAGTGGTTACTGAACAAAGAATACTCTTTCCGATAACTTCTTCATCATCAGGCTCTACAGTTATATATACACATTATAGTGAATGAATAAATTAGTGTTATAAACAACATTAATGTTGTTTAAATAACATCAGATCAATATTAATATCAACGAATTACAGTTCATTAGCATCAACATAACAATAAACTGAATGTCAGAAAAATTAGGAAAGATAATATTACAAATTCATGAATTTATAGTCTTTACTGGACTATGCTGGACCTGCATTTTGGCACATAAAGCACTGTTTGTTTCACGTGAATCGCCATAGCCTCTACTGTTTGGAACATGTGATGCTTCAATGATTTTGGCAATTTATTATGGCACCCGGTAGATTATAGATAGAGAAGAATTCTTCCACGCTGGCTTTGTGCCCGGTTTGCATCAGATGGTTCCATATCGAACTGTTGATGGTTTTTACTATACCTTTACTTAGCCATATTGGGAGATATTCTTGAGTTAGCACGAAAAATCAATTTCCTAGAGCAACGGCCAATATAACTCGCTCCACCAGAAGCGCAGTTATTGAGTTGGTAGATACAATTGGAAGTGGCTGGCTAGTCTAGGTACTTCATCTTTCAATCGAGGAATCACCATCAAATTTGTAGAAATTACTACTTGTGGTAAAGGTGTGTTTTATCTTTCCAATCCTGGTTCTGACATGCTCATCTGTGCCGTCCGCCTGTAGTTGAAATGATGCTACATAGTCGGATAAGTAAAGGAATTTTCTCTTGTTGATAGTGTTTGGAGAAATTAATCTAAATCTCCACAAGAACCCGTAGTCTAAATATGATGGCACATTGTTAGTCTTTTTATATTTATTGTTTCTTTTTTCCAGTTATCAAATCCCCTGTCTGTATTAATTAAAACCATAGTTTTGCAAGTTTTTTGTAAATATATATATATTTGTATTCATATACATGTATGTGCATTCTAGATACTTCTTACTGAATTGTGCTGATCGAGTTATTCGAGTCTACAATTGTGAAGATGCTTTAAATGGAAGTACAGCAGATCCAGAACCAATTAAGAAATTAAAAGATCTTGTTACTGGGTAATTTTTGTTTTTGGTGTCTGTTTTTTCTCAGCTTCCGTTTTTGAACTTCTAATGGTAGTGTATGATTGATTATAACAGGATTCGAATCTATGCATGTGAGTCGGTGGCACAGTGGTTAGGACTCTCGCCGACCATACACATGGTCGGAGGTTCTATCCCCCGCCGACGCACACCTGATATCTATGGTTGGCCTACGAAATTTGGGCTACCGATATCCATACTGAAAATTCCATACTTGTACCAAAAATACAGTGTGGAATCAAGCTGTAATCAAAAATAAAAATAAATAAAATTTAGGTAAATATAGTGAATTTTAATACTTGGTTAGTGGTGACTCCCAGTGGACACACCAGGACATGGGTTTCGTCCTGTTTTGGGAATCCTTTGCCGATAGCTGCTGCCTTGACGTAGTGGTCACTGGGCTTGCACATCGCAATGACCCAAGAAGCTATACAGGCCGGAACTATTGCTCCTTCAGGTCCTACCATTCTAGGAAGGTTGTTAGGATAGCGATTAGACTAAAAGCAGTTACCGACTTAGTGTAAGAATTGTTCTTTTACACAATGCTGGGAGTCTTTGGGTAAAGTCGAACTTCTGGGGAACAGGGATGTAACAGCAGTAAAGTGTTTCCCTCAGATGACCAGCATGCTAGCCAGCTATGCTGTCTCTCCACTCCGGGGGGTGGGTGGGGCGGTTAGAAAAAGTCGACCCTAACAATTGTACAGTTGTACATTTCGACTTACCCTACGGTAGTCTCTAACGGCGGTAAGTTTACTAATACGCAGCCAAAACAAGAAACCAGTTCATACAGGGTGTGTGTGTGTGTGTGACCGGCCTCAAGCAGTTTTCCCCTGGGCTGTGTGGTCATGCAATACTAATTGTCTCTTTGTTTCAGGCACTCGAAGAATCAATCAACTTCAACGGTGTGGTGGAGGGCAGCTGGGAAGTAACAACCGTCTACATACTTCCAAGAGCACACGAAGCCTCTCCGAGCATCATTCACCTTTATATACAGACATCGACTTGATCCACTTGCATTCTCATTAAGTGATGATGTTTGCACTGAAACTTGAACCTAAAACTCATCTCGTTTGAAACGCTATCCATGTTATCCAGGGAACAACGAGTGCCACGTCTTGTGTAATGAGTTTGATTCTAAATAACTCCCCATAGGTAAATACTGAGTCTTAGTTTACTAAAGCTTATACTCTTGGTTTGTCTGTTCTGGTTCTCCGAAATAACTCAAGATTACTGTCCACTGAACTCTGTTAATCGGAGATTGATATGTAGCCATATATAAATATATATATGTGTGTATGGTGGTCTCTCTTTCTGTTGCTCTCTTAGTCTGTGACCATTTCACTTTGATGAACCTGCCTCCTTTAACAAGGTATATTCCTGTTATGTACTCGTCGACAAATTATTGTTATGGACTGGTCGAGAAACTAATAGTCCTGACGCAAGAAGGCGGAAATCAGAAGACCACTAGGTTTGCAATGATACTTCTATTTTCCAAACACAAGGAGAAGCAATCAGTGGTATCACACCAAAGTAAGTAAGAAGTGTAAGTCAAAGTAAGTCACAAGATTGTGAGAACGAAGTATATATGGCAAGGGTGTGAACAATCAATAGACAGTCTTAACATGAATGGCTAATTATAATGAAGTATCGATCCATATATACATAGCGAAATATAGCAGACATGTCAACAACTACCATATATGGATATATGTCACCAGGCAACGGACTGTCAACAAACACTCATATTATATATAATATAAGGGGAATATACATTGTTAAAGGAGACAAGTTCATACAAGGGAAATGGTTACAGACTAAGAGAGCAAACAGAGAGACCAACATACACACACACACATAAATATATATATGTGGATACATATCAATTCCCCTTATATTATATATAATATGTGTGTTTGTTGACATGTCTGCTATATTTTGCTATGTATATACGGATCGATACTCCATTATAATTAGCCAATCATGTTAAGACTGTCTATTGATTTGTTCACACACTTGGTTGGACATTCATATATATTTTGCTCTCACACTATTTTGTGATATACATTTGATTCTCCTTGTGTTTGGAAAATAGAAGTATCATCGCAAACCTAGTGGTCTTGTGATTTCCGTCTTTCTTGCGTCAGGACTATTAAATTCTCGACCAGTACATAACAATAATTTGGCGACGAGTACATAACAGAGATAATATGTGAGAAGTGGAGAAGTAGTTTTTTAGTCGTTTGTGTATTTATCAACACCCGAAGGGGGGAGATAGATTGCTAAGCATCAGTAACACGTATCCCAGCCATCAGGATCACTGTAGCTGCACAACATCATCAGTCGACTCACTCGCCTTACCTCAATTTTACTCATCACATCAACCACATGACATGGAAGGTAGAAAGCAGGCACTTATAATCAAAGAAAACTAGCCTTTTTCATGTCTTTTGTTTTCAGTGGTCATTGTCTCATAGCCATAAAAATGCATAGAATGAATTGAGTGCTGTTCAGTACACACTATCTTTGATCGGTAGGCGGATATCACGTCTACACCGGAAATAACCCGAAATACCACTTGAACCTTATGTATTCGTGCTGAGATTTTGTCCAACGATCAGTCCATCAGGGTTAATGCAACTTCCCAAATAGGTGGAGTCATCTATACTTGGAGTTGGTGTAGTCTTATCCTGTAGCATTATCTTACATTTGACGGGAGCGCATCGCATGTCAAACATCTGAAGATATCTGCTCAAAGTGTTCAGAAAATTGTGGATTTTGTATAGTTGTTCAGAAACAGTTAGCAGGCAATCCATTTCGAAGGCATACTATTGTAGTCGTTATATTGTTTGCTTTCTAATTTTAATGTAAATAATTATACTGATGGTAAAATTATCTGAGATAACAATGGGTTGCCAGACTGTTGTGTATTGATAATGGGATAGCTGCTAAATGAAGGTGAGATGAAAATCGACGTCGTCGCCAGATTCCAACCTTCATTCAACATGCAAATATTGAAATTTGTCCTGCTCTTGAAGTAATTTGTTGGATGGTAACTAGCCGTGGAATCCAAAATGTGCGTTTCGTCCTTTTTATGACTCGTCACCTGGATGCACCCATATTCCTCCACTGAGCCTCGAACCCAATATCTATAATTTCAAACGCCAAAATGCTGTCCACTAGACCACTTGGGTAATGAGAGCCACCTCTTACTATTTAATTCAATATGAACTTTCCGTTGATTTATTGAACCGAAGTACTCGGCCTGTGTCGACATGTCGACTCCTTTTGCGGATGCTTCGACGTTGTCTGAAGAGTTTAACTTGAAGTAATTTGGTGGGTGGTGGAAACACTCTCACTGGGGGGGAATGCAAGTACATGCAGCTGACCTCGAGTCTCAGACAGGACGAAATGTTCATCCTAGATTTTACTTTTCTTGTCACCGCCTACCGAATTACTTCAAATTAGTCGTCGAAGATCGTCGATACGTCCGCACTAGGAGCCGATATGTTAACAGAGGCCAAACATTTCAATCCAATCAATCATTGGGAAAGTTTAAATTTGGTTAAATAATTTTACATTTGTTGGTATTAGACGCCTAGAGGCAATCGGCCGCAAGAATCCTTGGACCTAGATTTCGCACTAGTTGGCACTCATCAACAAGGCATATGTGTGCTACCTTAGAGGAATCCATGTCCCTTCTGAGATTCGAACCCGTGTCACTCAGTGACAGCTGCAGTCTGAGACGTTATCACTGAGCTGTTCACACTCGCAATTTACCTACTCCTGTAGGGGACTGTATTGGTTATCTTTGATTGGACATTAGTCAGTAACACTCGTGTAATGTATCTATCTAGTCCTATCTTTGGTACAAATTGAATTCTACCAGTCAAGTCATGACTTTCGAGGTTTCTGATGAGTGCCAATTAGGGCGAAACTTAGGTAAAAGGGAAGGCTTCCTGTGACCGATTACCTCCAACCATCTAATATTAACAATTCACAGTGCAAATGCATCGTGATGATGAGCTGCCTAGTGGCATGGTGTGGCAACAGTACAAACTTGACTGGTGATAGAATTCAGTCTGCACTAAACAAAGAGGACTAGACACGCACACGCGCACATTACACCAGTGACACTGACTAGTGTCCAATCATGAAAAAAAACATTCTACTCTTGCTTTGTATATAACATATTTTGGATAAAGCAATAAAAAGCAAGACGTAATTTGTCTGAATCGTGTGTGTAATGTATTTGTGCACAGCCCATTTCGAACAATCTGATCCATCACACACGAACTTGTCATAGGAATGAGTATATATATGAAATTAATAAAGAGTTAAGGAAATAGCCGCCTTAGGTTAAGTTAAAAGGACATATTGAAGGTGAAAATAAACAATGAAGACCACTTAACCAAATAGCAGAAGTAATAGTGCATCTGTTATGGTATCAAAACAAAATTTACCAAGGAAGTTTAATGTGATGACGTGTGGACACACATACATAGGGAGGACTCATTGATCTCTGCAAGTAAGGGCTGGTTTCAGAGCATATTCTTTTAAATGGCTCCAGAAAAAAAATGGAATCTTCAGAACTCATTAATAGTGAGAATAGGGGACCTAGCTCCTCTATTTTGAAGCATATTATAGAGGAGACACATCTTTTAAACCTATCCATCCATAAAACGTGTTTTGGGTGTATCCTAAAGTTTGTGGAAGCCGTAGCTGGCGATGAGGAAGTTTAAACCACCTTTATGCGTTCAGAGCAACAATTCGTCATCACACTAAACCTTCCTTGGTATATTTTTGCTTTGATACCATAGCAGATGCACTATTATTTCTGCTGTTAGCTTTAGTGGTCTTCATTGTTATTTTGACCTTGAATATGTTGTTCTAACTTTACCTAAGTCTATCTTCTCACCTCTTAACTCTTTATTGATTTCATATATATTCCTATGACAAGTCCATGTGTGACTAATCACAGATTGTTCGAAATGTCTTGCGCAAATACGCATTACACGATCAATTACATCTTCGTATTACTTTGTCTAAATTCATTAAGGAAATTAATTGTTTTAAATAACCTATTTTGTTATGCTCAAAAACAAATTTTTTTATAGGAGTCATTGGAGAAAATGTTGTTTCTCTGGTGACGGTGAATACATTTGTGCTGGTTCAATGAAACAACACTCTATATATTTATGGGAACGTGCTAGTGGAACATTGGTGAAAATTTTACACGGTCAAAAAGGTGAAACTCTGCTAGATGTTGTTTGGCATCCACTCAGACCAATAATTGTGTCGATTTCAAATTCTGTAACAAAAGAACAAGTATCTATATGGGCACAAACACAAGTTGTAAGTTTGATTATGTAATAATTGTTGCCTTTTTATATGTATGTTTTGCATATATATATGTATATATATACACTTAGAAATTCAGAGTATGCGTAGAATCACATGCTACTACTATAACATTTTTGAATGTAAGTTCTAAATATGGTTTGATAAATCGAATGTTCAACTTCGACCGCAAGTAGACATTATTTGCCAGTTTACGCCGACTCTGGCGTAGACGAGATGTTCGACTATCGACCAAAGGGCGGGTGTACTGCTCATCAGTCCGCTCCGTCCTCCTTTATTGCCGGCTGTGAGACCTGGTCACTGAGAGTGGAAGACATGAAAAGACTAGCTGTGTTTGATCATAGGTGCCTGCGTTCAATTTCCCGTGTAAAGTGGCATAATAAGGTGAGCAACATTGAGGTTAGGCCTCGATCGAGTTCTAGGTAAACAGGGGAAATCAATCGACGAAGTCGTGAAGCTACAAAGACTGAGATGGTTAGGACATGTGTTACGTATGCCAAGCCATCGCCTCCCTCAACAATGAGCAATGTTAGCGGATACAGGGTCAGGCTGGAAAAAGGCTAGCGGCGGTCAAACAAAAACATAGCACCAGTCAATGAAATCTACAACAGTTGGTCTAAGCCACGTAGGAAGGTGTAGACTTCCAGGCTGGGGTCCTCGGAACGGTAAAAATCTATGGTTGGAAACAATTGGTGACATGGCTCAAAATCGTTCTCAGTGGCGCAGATGCATCCACTCCTTGTGACTTATGATCTCCAATGAAACTGTTTTGTTTTTCTTTATCACTCCTTTGTCTCACTCCTCTGCTCACTGTTTCTATTATGCTTTTCTTGTACTTTCTTCTCTTGCTTCGCGTGCTACACGGAGTGTGGCGACTTGAACTTCCGCACATTTGTGCAAAGTTCTATGTCGAAAACAGACAGAGACAGGCAGATTATTTAGATGATTGTTATTATTATTGTTTCCCTTAGTTCCCAGAGGAACATAGGGCTTCAGCCGTACGTCTCCATTGCGTTCGGTTCTCTGACAACGTTTTCACCCGGCTCCACGTCTGTTCACATGCTTTCATCTCGTCTTTGCATCACTTCCTCCATGTCACCCCACCCTCGAATTGACGACCAACTCGCCGCTTCCCACTCGGCCGGGTTCCACTCGAGTGATGGCCTACTGTGTAATGTCACTCACTTGATGATTTGTTTTCTCAGAGTATAGCCAGCCAATCCACCTTCATTTCTTCCCGCATATTTGTTGCACAAGTGGTTCTTTATGGGTTGGTTCACTCATTGCCAGAGAACACTATCAATTCCAAATCCTTCACTATCGCTGATCTTTTCTGGCCGGTCATCTTATCTTGAGTTAGTATTGAGCAAAGACAACTGTTGATGAAGGTGTGTCATTTGTTTGAAGCGCTCTTCATGACGCGCCAAGTCTCCGTATAGGAAATAGCACTGACTTCATATGAGAGTTGAAAACCTGGATCTTATTTTTCGTGTTAAGTCCTGTTGGCCACCACACGGTCTCGATAGTAATGAAAGCTTTCTTACCTAGCTTTCCCGATCCCTGCTTTGATTTTCTCATTAGTTCCGTCCTCCTTTAGTTGAAACGAAGTAGAGGTTGCTTCTTCCAGATTTCTCCCATTTATGCTGATTGTTGTCTGTTGTTGCTTTTGGCCAGGAATCTTCATCACCACCTCTGTCTTCTGTATATTTTCACCTGAAGTCCTATCATTGCCGTATGCTTCTTCTGCCAACTTGTTGCTTTTCACTTGCATATTCCCCAGTTTTTGTGAAATCAGACATATATCATGACATTATTTAGATAGACATTAAAAATCAGGGAGTACTGGACAACTGCTTCGTCTTTGTTTGGGACATTTCATCAGTACGCTCCCATGCCGCCCCTTCCCTCACTAGAAATGGAGCCTAGAACCTTCAGGCTATAAGATGAGCCCGATGATTATTCAGCAACTGGAAGGGAATCCAATGACCGATGAATAATTCTAACATCTGCCATTTGAGAGCAGTTCGTTATCAAACTTCAAATCAACCAAAAATCCCTGCAAACCATTTCTTGAAAATTAACCTAGTGCTCACTAGCGACTGAATTTGCGTAGAGTTCTAGTGAGAAGTAGGCAGTCCACCAGATGTAGTGTGAGGACAAATATAGTCACTGGTGACACTATCTGGAGACACTGGTGCTATGTATCGTGAATTGACTGACAGAGGCTGGAATTCATATGCCTCTATCCTGCTGCCCCAGTGACTGAATAATCAGCGGACTGGTCTCGTAATCCGAAGGATTCAAGCCCCCCGCCACTGGGTAAGTACTCCTGAATGGCCCTTAACTTGAACGAAATAGTTGTTCAGTTTCCCTTACTACACTTCAATGGTTTCCTAAGTGATGTTAATATGGGATCATACTTGAAGTGCGTCGAATCCTCGCAAACTAATACTTGAAAGAAAACGTGAAAACATACCGGACAGTAATGACACATGTGGAATATACTGTTTAGACGAATAGCGATTATATACATATTAGATACTACTAATAATAAATATTCCCATAGTAAAGTTTAGAACAACACATTTAAGCGAACAATATTGTGCTTTCAATTAGATCTCATCAGGCCTAACTCTAATATATAAGTTTACAAAATAAAATTCAAATATAGAGACCGATCATGGTGTTTTGTCTATAGGATAATACGATGGTGAATATAAATTGTGCAATTAGTCATAATAGTGGTAGTGATAATATTAATAATAGTAATAATAATAATAATAATGGTCTTATCACAGATTGCCTCACCTTTTCATCCTTATTATGGATAAGACCATTATTATTATTATTACTACTATTATTAATATCATCATCGCTACTATAATGACTACTTGCACAATGTATACTCACCATCGTATTATCCTATGTGACCTACAGCAACTAGTTAGCTCACATGGCCCTACTCTCATTGAAGGCACAGAGGTTGAAAATACATCTAGTGTCAAGTACCTTGGGCTGAGTTTTTCCACCGATCTTTCCTGGTCCTCCCACATCTTGCTAGTTACTAGAAAGATGTTTCGCTTAACGTTCTACGTTAGGGAAGTTAAGGCAGTCTGGTATAAATCAGTCTTTGCTTTTTCAGTTTGTCAATTCTTGTATTCTACCCATCCCCCTTTACTGCTCCCCATTAATCTTTCCTGGACTACTTAAGAAAGACTTTGCTTCGCTGAGAAGGGCACTAAAAGCCGTTAGTAGGGCAAGTGGGATATCGTTAGACCAACTGGTGAACACTATTGTAGATAGACATATAATGTCATGTAAGAAACTAGCGAATACAATATTGTCGGACCCCGAGAATCCTCTCTATACGCATCTATCTCCTTGCATTTCATCTGGAAGAACTAGAAGCAGCTATAGGAGGCTATATGCTAGGACTACCAAATAAAAAAACTCCACAATACCATATCTGGCACAGCTGTTATGTGATGAGAAATCCGTTACGTATGACACGATAAACTTACTGCAGCACTCTAACAAATAGTCTCATTAGTTTTTGTTTTCCTTTCCTCGTTACTACTACACTGTTGTTCTCATCTTCCATCACACATCAACTTTATATTTCATATCCTGTGGTGCATTGTTTGAAATGAAATGCTCTACGCTGTTTTTTTTCTTAATTTTTAATATTTATTTATTTTATTTATTTATAACTTATTTATTTTATTTTTATTTATTTTTGTTTTTTAAAAATCTTATATAATTTATGAGGTAATTAGATGCAATATGGTGTAATGCACGCTGAAAATTCCATACCTGTACCACAAATACTGTTTGGAATAAAGCTGTTATTATTATTATTATTATTATAGACAAAACACCATGATTGGTCTCTATATTTGAATGTTTATTTGTAAACTTATATATATTAGAGTTAAGCCTGATGAGATCTAATTGAAAGCACAATATTGTTCGCTTACATGTGTTGTTCTAATAATAATAATAATAAGCAATATATAACAGTTAATCGCTTATAACATTGGCTAGTGGTTGTGCTCTATATTGGGAATTCATTCCCCGTTGGATGGACCCCCCCCCCAGTGGCTGGCTAAAAGATCTGCAAGCTCTCCTTGTAACCAGCAGGTCTTGGGTTCAAACCCTGATTGGTAGGTACGCATTGCTAGGAAGTTGCAAACTAAAACGAAAAAGCTGTCCAGCACCCTCAGGTTTTGATGTGGTTTTGTTCTCTGAGCTGGATAGTTAGTTTGCGAAGCTTTCATCACCTTACTGGGTGACATCTTCAGCGCATACTTCAAATTGAAGTGAGCTTTTAGTTTTCTCCACGAGTTTATTAATCATTCCTCCTGGTGACCTTGAATGTGATTGGTTGTTTATGTATGTTTTCACACCTTCTAGGTTACTTGTGTTGGAACTGATTGTTTCAGAAATCACTAAAAGACTCTTCAAACCTTTAGGAATTGACATCGTACACAAACCAACAAAGTCGCTGCACTCAATTCTATGTCAACCAAAAGACTCAACAGCAAAAGAAGACAAAACCAACATCATCTACAAAATAAACTGTAACAACTGTGAAAAACACTACATTGGCCAAAGTGGACGTCCCCTTCGTCTTCGTATCCACGAACATAAGCTAGCCGTCAAAAGACATGATATACACTCCCTCATTTCACTACACACAGACAACCACGGACATCAATTCGACTGGGACAACGTTCAAATATTAGACAAAGGAAATAACAAGAATGCTAGAGAATTTTTAGAAGCTTGGCATTCCAGTGGATCATCAATCAATAGACACATCGACATAGACAAAATTTATCAACCAATAAGAAAGAAACTTCACACACGATTGGCCAAAGTTCAAGTCACAGAAACAATCAGTTCCAACACAAGTAACCTAGAAGGTGTGAAAACATACATAAACAACCAATCACATTCAAGGTCACCAGGAGGAATGATTAATAAACTCGTGGAGAAACCTAAAAGCTCACTTCAATTTGAAGTATGCGCTGAAGATGTCACCCAGTAAGGTGATGAAAGCTTCGCAAACTAACTATCCAGCTCAGAGAACAAAACCACATCAAAATTATCCACCTGAGCTACAAATCTTCTCTATCATACCCTCAGGTTTCCTAGTGGTTCTCTAGCTGGTGGCAACTCGTCACCAATATATATATTAACAAGCATAGAAGGCCAGCTTTAAGTGGTGGGCGGTTTATCACATGAAAATAACCAATAGCTAATGTGAGAAGCACAATAGTCAAAAGTGGATTAATTTTGATTGGTGGACTGTCAATCTGCCTGTCTGTCTGTCTATCTATCTATCTGTCAATCGTGACCAACTAACATGTCTCTATAAATGTTATATGTGTATGTATGCTTATTTCGCTTATTTTGTAGCAAAATTGGTCAGCTTTTGCTCCAGATTTTAAAGAACTTGATGAAAATGTTGAATATGAAGAAAGAGAATCAGAATTCGATATGGATGATGAAGATAAACAGATCGAGGAAAGTAAAAGTAAGTAGAGCATAACCTTCTCAGTATGTGTGTGTGTGTGTAACTTATTGTTTTTTTTGATATCTTTTACTATCAGTCTGCTTTTCACTGGAGAGAAAATAAATTTTTCTTGTATTATTATTGTGATGTGAATCATTGATTTGTGAACATTCCACTTTTGAGCGAATGAATTTACAATTCGATACTCCATCCTATACGTATTAAGCGTGTATGGTTCACAGTTGCATAGATACAGATCCAATAAAGAAACAGAGGCTTACGCGCTCCTCCACCAAAGGTTTGGGTCGGTTCGCCGCGTCACGAAGGGCACTTCGAACAAACTACAGACCTTCACCAACAGTAGTCGTCTCTCAATACTAACTCAAGATCAGATGGGCGGCCACAAAAGATCAGTAACAGAGGGGGATCTCTGGAAGCGAACTAACCCAGCAAATATGCAGGAAGAAATGGAGGTGGATTGGCTGGCTATACTCTGAAAAAACAAACCATCAGGTGAATGACATTACACGCCAGGCCATCGCTCGAGTGGGACCCTAATGGAAAGCAGCGAGTTGGTCAGTCGTCAGTCCAAGATTGACATGGAGGAAGTGATGCAAAGACTAAATGAAGGCATGTGAACAGACGTGGAGCCAAGTGAATACGTTGACAGAGAACCGAATGCAATGGAGACGTGCGGCTGAAGCTCTATGTTACTCTGGGAACTAAAGGAGATAATAATAATACACAGTGAGATATGTTCACTGTTCAGTAAATCAAACATTTTTGGTCCATCAAAATGTTTGTTTTTACACTTGTTCAGATGATTCTTAAAAACATTTTTCTCCTTTTTGTAGATAACAATGAAGAAGAGGACATCGAAATTGACATAGAAACTATAGAACCTGTTCAGACCTTGTTAAGCAGGTATTTAACTGGAAATATATATATATATATATAATACCCAACCTAATCTTATGTTTAATTGAATTTTAGATTTTCCCGTCGATTGGTTGGACCGAAGTGCTCGGTCTCAGGTTGACATGTTGGCTTCTTGTGCAGATGCTTCGACAACGCCTGGACATGTAATCAGAAGTTAATTGGTGGATGGTGACTAGCAGTGGAATCCAGCTAGGATGCGCATTTCGTCCTATTTGGGACTCGTCACCTGGATGTACCTGCATTCTCCAGTGAGTCAGTGATGATGTTCCCACCGAGGCTCAAAAAGTTCAATTCAATTAATATGACCCGATGCACAAAAGGTGTCTCTCGTGACCCAATTTGTCTAGTGGATAACGCTTTGGCGTTGGAAACTATAGGCACTGGATTTGAGCCTCGGTGGGAACATCATCACTTACTGGGGAATGCAGGTACATCCATTTGACGAGTCCCAACTACGACGAAATGCGCGTTATCCTGGATTTCACTGCTAGTTATCATCCACCGATTAACAACTAATCTTATATTACCTAATATTACTGTATGAGAGAGCCGGCGTGCGTACCACGTGTCCTAGCCAGTGACGTGTTTAAATAATAATAAAAATAATTTTTCCTTCACGTTCCCAGTGGAACATAGGGCTTCAAGCTGGAGGCTTGAAGTTTCTGTAGCAGTGTTTATTTTTTACAGGATGGGGTTGCTAGCCTCATGCCCAACCTTTCCTCTTTACCAGCATCATTTCTGGTTTAGCGAGGTAAAGGAGTGCGTCGGCCGGTCGAAATTCATAAAGGCAACTAATTGCTTTAAATACAAAAATGTCAAATTAAGGAGTGAGACCAGCTCCAGTAAGATTTTTAAAAGAAACCATTTCTGAAGTCAAACCTATGTTAGTAAATTCACAAATCATAAGAGGTAAACTTTTAGATTAGCAAAACGATCCTGAGAAACAACGGAAATCTTACCTTCGGGAAGAGAGTAATATTGAGTACCAGATGAATCAGCTTCATCATTCGGAGCCCTATTATCCGGTTTGTTTCCCTTGAAACAATAAATTGAAACGACGACAACAATGAATTTTATGCGAAGTCTCCAGTTACAAATATCATATCTTTTTTTAAGTGGATACTTACAAACTTATAATTTACCTGTCCGCAGGGCTTGTTACACGTCAACATCAAATGAAAAATCACAAGTAGTCAACGAGCAAGAATTCTTAGATTCGCTTTTCTACTACCTATTAGAAATGCCTACAAATTCTTTCAATGCGTGGTCTCACATTTTGGAAGTCTTAATTAACACTTTCTTTTGCATCTAAATGAAGTGAATGTATGAAACTAGTAAAGTTTTCAGAGAGAAAAAAGAGTATAAATTAGATGTCAGACCACATTGTTATGAAGTGTGATTTATTTATTTTCGTCGTACTATAACAATACATACGGTATATAACGCTAATTGTATTTATTTATTCAAGAATTCCTTTCGTCTAACAACTGATCATGAGGTTTCTCTCAGCTTTCTTTCAGCCTAGCCATCGCCTTCCTCAACGGGCAATGTTAGCTGACTGACATAGGATCAGGTTGGAAAAGAGCTAGTAGTGGTTAAACTAAACTATAGCATCAGCTACTGAAATCCACAACAGTTAGTTTGAGCCTACCAGCCACGTAAGGAAGCGTAGACTGCTGTCTGGTTGGGGTCCTCGGGATGGTGATAAGCAACAAAGGCTGGTGACAATTCGTGATATGGCTAAAAGTGATCGTTGTCAATGGCTGTTGCAGATGCATTCCCTCTTTGTATTTCGTCGCATCTAATAAAACTATATTGTCCTTCTGTATTACTATTTTTCTAGCCTCATATTTCTGTTTATTATCTCTCTCTCTCTTTACTCTCTTCTTTTGCCTTATGTGTTAGATGGAGTGGAGTGTGGCGACTTGAAATGAGTGGTGCAGCACATCTGTGCAAAGTTCCACATTGGAACCAGCAGGTGGCTGTTCTTTGACTTAGATTCTGATCCTAAAGACAGATGGGCGACATCAGACAGGAATTGCATTCGCATATGCTGGCTGACGACCAATATACGTCAGTGTGTCAGTTGTTCCTTGGAAAGAATTAATCACATTCAAAGTCACCAGAAGAGATGGTTGCTTGATAAACTTATGGAGAATCGCAAAAGCTCACTCATTTCCTATTGCGGAGTATGCAGTGAAGTATCTTGCCTAGGAAAACAATGTCAATGGTTAGCGAATAAACCACTCAACTCAGAGAATACAACTATAGTGATACCACTCATCTATTTATTTCGTATTTTTGAGTTTATATGCACCATAGTTTCGCCAATCTGGCGAGGAGGACTGCCACACACTCACATATTCGCCCTCACTCTCTTTTACTGTAAATGCATGGAAAGAAAAGTATTTTGACGGTAAAGGGGAGTGGAAGCAGGATTCCAATCACCCTCACAGTTAATTTGTTGGAAAAGCGTCGTGATAACTGGTATAGTAATATGTTGAGTAATACTGGAGTTAAGCGTAGAGTGTTAGGGCTAAGAACGGAAGCAGCTAATCAATGAGGTTGTGAAGCTGTATCGATTAAGATGGCTACGACACGTGTTATGCAATTCAGGTAGAGTGATCTTCCTCGAGAATCAATGATAACCGCCATGGGGGTGGTGTCCAAAAAGAGTGTTAGGCATAGTCAAATCCACTCCAGGAATCAATCTACAAGATCTTTAACAGTTGGTTTAAGCCAGCCACATATAGAGGGAGGCGTAGACTTTCTGGTTGAGCTCCTCAGGATGGATTCTAAGACCCAGTGGGGGCTAGAAACTATTGATGATAATGTTGCTGAAGGGTGTTCTTAATTGCGGAGATGCATTCAAATCTTTGTAAACTTCGGAGATTCACTAACTCTTTATATTTCACTATGTAGGTATTCTTTCTTCAATAGATTTCTGCTCATTTTTAGTTCTTTTGGATGTAGTGTTATGAACTACATTAATGTTGTTGAAATAACATTGAATCAATAATATTGATAGATTACAGCTCAACAGCATCAACATAACAATAAACTGAATGTCAGAAAAATTAGGAAAGATAATATTACAAATTCATGAATTTACAGTCTCCACTGAAGGCGAGGGCAGTAGTAGGGGCTGGACTTCCGTCATTTGAACATACAGCACTGATTACTTGAGGCGAATTGCAATAGCCTCTGCTGTTTGGAGCATGCGGTGCTTCGATGATTTTGGCAATTTATTAGGCACCCGTTAGATGATAGGGAAGGATTCTTCAATGCTGACTGGCTTTGTGGCCGATGGGTTTGGTCTAGGTGGTCCAATATCGAAATGTTAATGGTTTTTACTACACCTTTACTTAGCCATAGTAGGGGATGTTCTCGAGCTAGCACGGAAAATCAAGTTCGTAGAGCAACGGCCAATATAACTCGCTCCACCCGAGGCGCAATTGAATTGGTAGATACAATTGGAAGTGGTTAGCTAGTCTGGGTACTTCATCTTTCAATCAAAGAATCACCATCGGTTGTGTAGATAATAAAACGTGTAGTTCGCCAGCATTAAAAGTTCTTTGAACTGATTTTCTTAATTTCCTCGTAATTATCTCACTTGGTATTGTAGTTGTATATAAATTGGCTTCTTGTTTACAGATAGTGAGTAGTCCTTTTCTGCCGCTTTCTTTGTCATGTGTTTGTTGATAAATTTGTCGGGTTAGTTATTTTCAATCAAGGTATCATGTACAATGCTTAATTTATCTTAAATTACTTCTTCAGTGCATCTAACTCTAACTCTGTGGCCTAGTGAGGGTCTTCACGAAATTTCTTTTGTACTTGTGGATTTCTTTTCTCTCTTTCTTTCTTCTACCTTTGTGGGGTGGGTAAATACGTAGAGTGTGGTAACTTGAACTTCCGTGAAAAAGGAGTTCCATGTTAAAACTCAGTTGGCTAGTTAGCTCGGATCGTGCTACCAACGTTGATAAGTTTTGTAAACATTTTTTTTAATGGAGTCACTCTTATGAGATAAAAAAAAAAAAAGACACCCTTCAACTGTTTAATAATGGAGGCGGGAATCAAATCAATGCAAATAAACTCTTAAAATACATTCACTCACTCAAGGAGGGGTGGATCAGCACATCGGAGGGAAACCTATCTAGAAGAGGTCCCAGCTTGGTCCGGTAGCGGGATATTGCCTGTGAATGGTGGCCATATAACAGCCCAATCGGTGCGTGACGACCGTCTCCTTAGTCGACTTGAACAACTCACCCTCTGACAAGTCATTCATATCGGCGCCTATGCTTAGTATAGACACCCAATCAACATGAACACTCTTCATATGCCAGAATACCCGGTCCTGTGAAGTTCTTCACCCTAGCCTCCAAATAATCATCACATTACGGGCGTACACCACAACACCGGGCCGATCAACATCTCTTCATATACTACTGATAAACCTTATCAGTAGCAGGCGACATATGGTAGTACCATATAAGTTTGTTTATTAGATGTATCACACACACTGTGTGAAACAGTATTATTTACTAGATGACAAGGTTTCGAACAAAATTTAATATGGCTCATGATCACACGACTTTGAAACTTGAGTTTTATAGTTTTCGTTGTCTTCTCCTATTTATCGTCGTCGGGGTAGTAGAATTTTCCAGATGTCTGCGTGGACAGGTGTTGAATCATTCCTATTACACGTGTTGATTCGCAGTTGATTCGATGAACCAAGCTTCTGTTATCAATCTCTCCCTCCACCCTGCTGTGACATTAGACTTTAAAACTGTCATCCTATCCCATCCATCCTATTGTATGCATAGTTGTGTGTAATTGCATGTAGTGAGTACTATAACTGAACTATTCTCTAGATTTCTTATCTTATTCGGGTCAACTAATCTAAATTTCTCTAAGTTATGTTCTGCGTAATGCAGAATTCTTAACAAGGCAGGAATAAAAGTGACTGACATTCAAACCACCCACAA